AGGAAGGAAGGAAGGAAGGAAGGAAGGAAGGAAGGAAGGAAGGCAACCCAGACATATTTCATAAAGAATGTATCATTCCAGGGTATCAACTCCCAGACACTACCACCCCCAACCTCACTAAGAAGAGAAGACACCGACAGAAAGTACTTAATCCATGGCTTTTGTTATTTGTGTGTGTGTGTGTGTGTGTTAGTCTTTTGTGAAGATAGGTATAGAAGAATGGTCATCATTTTCCGAGTAAGAAGTGATAACTATAAAAGGCTGGTTAGAATAATATGGAAACTTCAAGAAATGTTAATGTGTCTACAAACAGATGACCAATATCATACCCAGATCAGCCCCTAATGCTACACCCAAGATCCTGTTAGGGAGAATGGAAAGAAAGGTGGTGTCTCCACTCCAGACAGCATTTTCTGGTCCCTGACCACCCCCCTCAAAGGCTTAAATTAAGCTCGCCATCCAAGGTTGACTTGCGGATGGTGTCACTTCATCAATATCCCCCAGACATCTCCCAGCCACTCTAGAAGGCCTCAATCCCCTTACTAAGGGACAAAGGCCATCATTTCCCAGTTAGAGAAAACAGCCTTGAACGTAAATGTCTGCTTGATGGAAGACTGAGACCGAAACAAATTCATACACACTGAAGTCAGACAAGCATGCAGCAAGAAATGGAGACTGGCTTCAGAGGCACGCAGACTCTGGTGGAGGAGAAACACTGAAGAATGAATAATAAGGTAGTCCTGAAGGCAAGTGGGGGCTGGGTGATGTCAGCCATTCTTGTACAGGGAACGGAACTTGTCTGGGGTCCCAGCATCATCTTAGCAGTCCATTGAACTGTTAAGTCAGTAACTCACATTCCGCCCTCAGCTGAATTGGACATCTACGACCTCCTGTGAATCTCCTTCTTCTACATGAGAGTTTGAAACCTTTACTGAGTAAGCAATTCTCCTCTATTAAAGTCTTCATGAGCAGATTAGGGCTGACAAGATTGGTCAGGGGGTACAGGCATTTGCTGTCAGGCCTGACACTTGGCTTTGAACTCTGGGTCAGACATAGCAGAAGAAGAGCACTGACTCCCTGAAGTTGCCCTCTGATCCCCATGCATACCACATGTCAAGTGCACTCACCCACTCCACATACAGAAATAAATAATTGTAAAAAGCAGAAGAAGAGAGAGAAGATTGAGTTACCGCTGTCTCTTTATAGTTCTGCTTCTGATAGAACCTGACATTAGCCTGACTGACTTCTGTAGCATTCACCTGGCTAACAGCATTGAAGAGGTTTTCCTTTGGCATCTGCGACTCCTTTGTACAATGCTGTATCTGGTTATCAGTTTACCTTTCCCTCCATTTTAATAGGTATGATTCTTATCCCTGTTTCTACTGGTTGGTCTCAGAATCATGGGTGTGAGTAAAAAATAAAAGTCACAAACCAATAATAAATACTTACAAAATAGTACAAGCAAGGACTATGTACAAACCGGTACTACTTAAACATAAACACAAATTAGTTTATTTAATTCTCACAATAACTGTGGAAGCTACATGCCATTATTGTCTGCATCCATGTTTGCATATGAGAACATTAAAGCACACACAGTGAACTAGTCTCCTGAATTGCCCCAGACAGGAAGTGGCAGGACCAGAATTGAAATCAAGCATTCTTCACTCACAGCTCACACTTAGTCGCTATATCACACCACAGCAGAGCCACACAGACAACTGGAAATCATTCGGATAGCTTCTTATTCAACACAAAAAGGACTCATTCAATCATCCTGATTGAAAACCAATGACAGAACCTCCTGAATTGCCCCAGACAGAATTGCATGTGCTGTCTTAGTCACCAATTCACAGACTGGAGCAGAAACTTCTGAGGAAACTCAAAAACTAGATGTGATAAAAACTGATATTCCAAGCAGAGACAGAAAAGCCACATAGTAGCACCGCTGGGAAGTGTAACCAGCCCCTGGGAAGTGTATCCAGCCCCTGGGAAGTGTATCCAGTCCCTGGGAAGTGTATCCAGACTTTCGAAATTGTACCCGGTTTGACTTGATTAGCTTAGTTTTCTCACTAGGCAGAAATCTTTTCAATAACTCACTGATGCTGTTCCCAATCTGCTCACTTCCTATGCAGAGAAGAGGCAAGGTGATTAAGCTAAAATGATTTCAGGTAACATTTACTAGCTATAAAATATTCAGATCAGGCTGGGCTCAGAGGTTAAGAGCACCGACTGCTCTTCCAGAGGTCCTGAGTTCAATTCCCAGCAACCACATGGTGGCTCACAACCTTCCGTTATGAGATCTGGTGTCCCCTTTCTGGGGTGCAGATATACATGGAAGCAGAATGTTGTTGTATACATAATAAATAAATAAAATTTAAAAAATATTCAGATTATCCCTTGAGGATAATATTCTGGTTCCTATGCTGAGCAATATAAGGTCACTGGGTCTCATCAAAAATAAGAGGATGAGCTAGGCCTGGTGGCGAAGGCCTACTTCCAGCTACTTTGGAGGCTGAGGCAGGAGGATGGCAAGCTTAAGGTTGCCTAGAGTATAAATTAAACACAGGACCAGTGTAGACAATTAGCAAGATGCTGTCTCAAAATTAAAAAAAAAAAAGTTTAGAAATGGGTGGGAGAGCTCAGTGGCAGAGTACTTACTTAGCATGTGTGAGGCCCTGAGTTCAATTCTTATTGCAAGAAAGAGAGATAGAGACAGAGACAGAGATGGAGACAGAGAAAGAAAGGCAGACGGTGGAACTAAATTTATCTGGTCCCAAACAACTGAAGCAATATTTTTGAAGGATTTGCTGTTGAGCAATCTGTGAATTAAAGAAGCTTTATTTTGTTTACTGCCTAAGAGGATTAATGATTTACTACTAGTTACTAGTTGATGTGGTACTTACGGCTCCCCAGGGCTAATGACTGGCAGGGCTTCTCCCACGATTCCAGGCCAATGACTGAAAAGTCATCTCTTTCAAGAAGTTTTTAACCAATGAGAAGAAGCCTAAGGTTGTGGGCTGAAGCTTAGGTTCCATATATGCTTGTGCTATGCTAGAGTGGGTTCCACTCCTCAGAAGACGGCTGCCGGATGGCAAGGTAAGAGTCTGGGCTGGGCAAGATCCTCACTTCATACCGTGTCAAAAAGCAGGCCCTGAGGACTGGAATGAAGGTGTCAGGGACTGTGTGGCGTTAAATGTTCTAAAAAGGTAAGAGATATGGGCTTCACTGGTAATTTCACCAGGAAAGTTTACTTAAGAGTTTAAGTTATGTGTGTTTGTTTCTTTTTTAATTCAAAGAAATGTTTTAAATCATGGCACAAGAGTCATATTTTTGTTCTCATTTTTCTAGCTTTCTTTGAAAAACAATCAAAATTTAAGGTATCTACAAAGAAATATCACTCCAAAGACAGAATTTAAGATTGGCACTGTAGAATTGTGAAAATGACTGTGTGGTCTATTGAACTCACAAATTATTTCATTAAAAAGAAAGAGTAGAATATAAGCCTTTACTGAGAACTATAACTTATTTTCATATCCCAAACACTCATTTTTAAGGTTCCATAACAGCATTTATGAAAAAAGCACAAATACACGAGCCAATAAAATGTTTCAAAGGCTACTAAAAATTCTAAAATTTCACAGACAATCATCTTGACAGACTTTTTTTTTAATTTTCACATTCTAAAATGTAATTTTTACTTGTTTCACATGTGAAAGTTTTTCGGAAACAAATTTATTATTGATGATGTGTGGACTTTTGTAACTAGCAAAATGCACTTTTCAAAGTCTTTGGGTTTCCTGTTTTATGTATCAGACAGTGTATAATGCTATCAACATAAAATCATTTGCAATCTCAGCATTTAGATGGTCCGTGAACTCTCCTACTAATATGCTTTCTAAAAGTCCCAGTGACTTCCAAGCAAACATGGCAGTCACATGTTAGTGACTTCATTGGAATTTCTGTTTGCAGAAACCTGTCCCTGGTTATTTGTTAGGATTTCATTACTCAGGTAGCAAGGATTCCTGGACAGGTAATTTTTAATGAATCAAATTTAAAATTGTACATCTTATGAAAGATAAGTATACCTTAAATCACAGCCCTGCTTAAACATGTTTGTATGTGTTGCCTGGAACAAATTTAATTTTCTTTCTTAGTAACAGTGTTGAAGATCATTCTGAAGATTAAATGGGAGACAATACAACAACGATACAGCAGACATCTAATTATTGAGCCATCTAGAACCAAAGCCGAGCGCTCCATATTGTAACCACATTATTGTCTGTTTTGAAGCAAAAATATATAGTTCTAAAGAAAGAAAAAACCAAAACCATAAAGCAGGTAGTTCCAAAGTAGATTCTAGAAGATGTCAGTGAACACCCCTTCCAACTCAGTGCCCAGTAGTACCAGTCGTTTTCAAGTCCATGTCATAAACGAGGGCCATGGCAGTGGTGCAGCCATGAGTGACAGCACAGACCCCCCACATTATGAAGAGACCTCTTTTGGAGATGAAGCCCAAAACAGACTGCGAATCAGCTTTAGGCCTGGCAACCAGGAGTGCTATGACAGCTTCCTCCAAAATGGAGATGCTGCGAAAACAGACACCACATTTCATGTCTACGATTCTCACACAAACACGTACTATCTGCAAACCTTTGGCCACAACACCATGGATGCTGTCCCCAAGATTGAGTACTACCGCAACACAGGCAGTGTGAGCGGGCCCAAGGTCAACCGGCCCAGCCTGCTGGAGATCCACGAGCAGCTGGCCAAGGTAAGCTTCCTTCCTCACCATTCCCTTGGGGCAATAACACTACACATCAGTGGTCAAATGAAGAGAGCTGCTCCATGCCATCCATCTTCCTTATACAGCTGTCTCTCTAGTCTCTAAGAAACAGAAAACATCCTGGTGCTTCACAAATGTTTACTGACTTGGGAGAGAAGTGCAGACTGAACCCGAAACGTGAGGCAATGTTTCTTACGGTGTTTGCAGTAGGGTTACTCAAATCCCACATGGCTGAACGTGACATACTGAAGCCTAATCTGTTTCTACATTAGTGTCACCTTAGTTAAAACAGCTACACAACCATTCTTACACAAGCCATGTGCTTTTGTAGCTCAGATGGTGGGAGCCAGAGGTGGTGTGTCCTTAAGACACAGCTACCCTGGTAGCTGAGGCTGAATGACAACTACTTTTTCTATTCTTTAAAGAAAAAACAGAAATGCCTATGATTCAGCCTTTGGATTCTTACTCTTCACACCTTTTTCCCAAGGCCCTCTACTAAATTTAAGCTCAGAAGCACAGTGGTCAGACTTTGTATTTAAAGAATGCACAAGGGTTTCAGAGTCTCTGGAAGAGTTGAGTCTTGTACTCATCATTTAGAAGCTTAGATTTCTTCTGTGACTTCCTGAGATTTGTTGACAGACTATGTTCCTGCCCTTCTGTCAGTTTTTAATGAAGGTCACTTTTTTTTTTTTTTTTGCATGTCTCTGTGTGTGCACGTGGGCCTATTCGCATGTACTTGCACAAGTGTATGATGGTATATGTGAAAGTTTGAGGTTGGTGTTGGGCATGTTCCTCCATTTATTCAGCTTATGTATTAAGGCAGGGTCTCTTGCTTGCACCCAGAGCTTTGTGATTCGGTTGTCTAGCTAGCTTCCTCTGGAGATCTCCTGTCTTCACTTCCTTAGTGCTGAAATTGCAGGTGGGACACCGTAGCAGCCAATTTATGAGAGTGTAGAGATTCAAACCCAGGCCCTCGCACTTACCAGCAAATGCATCACCTACCGAGCCATCTCCCCACCACTGAATATCACTTTGTGGAATATGGTTACACTCTAGGAAAAGAATTAGATATTACACACTCAAATATTGTTTACTTACTCATGTCCAAACTTCCAGTAAAACAAAGAATGAACAGTTTATTTCATAACCATTCATTTATTCATTCTGGATCTTAAAGGTTAAACAAGCTGGGCATGGTGGCTCAGACATTTAACCTCAGCATTCTGGAGGCAGAGACTGGAGCATCTCTAAGTTTGAGGCCAGCCTGGTCTACAGAGTGAGTTTCTGCATAGCCAGGGCTATACAGAAAACTTGCTCTTAGAAAGAAAAAAGGAAAAAGAGAGAGAGAGAGACAGAGGCAGAGAAAGAGTGAGAGACAGAGAGAAGCAGAGAGAGAAAGAAAGAAATGAAGGAAGGAAGGAAGGAAGGAAGGAAGGAAGGAAGGAAGGAAGGAAGGAAGGAAGGGAGGGAGGAAGGAAGGAAGGAAGAAAAAAGAAAGAAGGAAAGAAAGAAGTTATAGTCTCCCATCATCCCCAACCCCCATTCAGGATGAGTTCTCTCAGGAATGATTCTGGAAAAGGCACTGGCTCTTCTTTTAGTTTCTTCTCACCTTCTTCCCAGAGGAAATAAATCTCCAAAATTTACTCCCTGAGCTGCATGAGGCCCAACTCCAGACTAGGACTTCCAAAAGAAGACCCCATGCTCTCACTCAGATCTCTTACACCCTCCAGATATTTCAGATAAAGCCTAAAGTTAGCAGGTTGCCACAGATACAATTGGCAATCTGCTAACTTTAGGCTTTATCTGAAATATCTGGTGCCTTAATAAAAAAAATAGCATCATGGCTATTCAGACACAGTATCAGCTTTCATGGAGATGTTTTAAGGGGGGTAACGTGAAACTTCAGACAAGCTTCTGTCAGTTTCTTGCTTTAAGTGATGGGGGAAGAAATGATGGCAGGGGGACAGGAAAGGGGGAAAGACAAGAAACAGTGGACCGACAGGAGAACACGGTGATCCCAAGTTGTGGAAGGAGCAGAGAGAGAAGTTATACATTGCAAGGAGCTTCTGAAGTAAAAAGAACCAAAAATGCCCAGAAAAAGACATGAAATCCTACCCCACCAAGTGCTGTGCACTAAAGATAACTTGTAACACTGTCCCCTTCATTATTAAAATTTAAACATGCAACCATTCACACGGTTTACAACAAAGAAAAATAATATCTTAGCCCTCATTAAGAAGAAACTGGAAGCAGGGCCTGGTGGGTAGTTCAGGCCAGCAATCCTGGCTGTGCCTGGAACCTGATTTCCAAGTCAGAAAATGATACGACAAGGGTTGTCCTAATAGGTAAAACGAGGGTACAGAACTAAGAGTTCAGGGCCTGCCTGGTTTGCAGGATGAGATTAAAGTCAGCTAGGGTAACCTTGCAAGACCCTGCCTCAGAATTAAAGCTCGAATTTTAAATAAGATAAAGCCAATAAATGATAAAGTTTAGTGACGGTGCACTTGCCCATGATGTGGGAAACTATAGGTGCAATCTGCAGCACCTTAAGGAAAAGGGTTGCGGTGGAGTAGGAGGAATGTTGCTCTTAGCACCAACATTCTAAAGAGAAAGGGAGCTTATGGGTAAGTTCTAAAGGCCTGGCTTGTGAAGATCTTTAAGTTAGGGGAGTAAACTCAGAAGCAGTGGTTTTTCAGTATGCCAGCTCAATGGCTGCACAGTTAGAACACCAGAGCTGCCTTTGACAGCACTTTGGAAGCTGTTTGCTATGGCTTATCATTTTTGAACAGATGGAATAAGACCAAGGCCTTTACATTGTTCTGTGCTCTGCTCTCTTCCCTACACAGTCGACCTTGGAGAGCTCTCCACATCAAAGAATGCAGAGATCACTTGGCATCTGAGGAGATTTTACTTCATAAAAAGCATTCTGCTTTCAGTTCCCCTTAGAAAGCATGCGATTAAAGCTGCCTTCGTTGTCAAATATCAGAAGAGGGAAGACTCCTATCAAATGGTCTTCCTTTCTCTTTAAATGCACTTTATAGTCTCCTCACTGAATCTGTAGTACATAAGTAGAAATCTTGATGAATGGATGATCATTCCATAGAAGTTAAAAATGCATTTATGAAAGGTCATGATTTATGGAAACAGAGTATAAAGGAGCAAATTATTTCGAATTGTAAAAGAAAGAAAAAACAGCTAGAGGAAAGATGCAATCACAAAACTTTGCATCTTTGAGATACTGGCAGCTTCCAGATGTCTGTGAACCCCTGGGCAGAGCTTAGCAGTCCTGATATCCACAAACTTCCACTCATGTCATGTTCAATATTCAGATGAGACACTGAATCTGCTGTTCTTTCAGCAAAGGAAGCATTTATCCAAGAGCAAAACCAAGATTTCCTTTACCATATAAAAGGTGATTTTTGTTTTTAACTACTTTGAGGTAATATTTTCAAAAACAATCTTGGATGTGTTCTCATTTTTACTTCCTAAGAAAGCAAAAAATAGCCTGCTGGAGAACATGCCCTGGATTAATTTCATGACAAGATTAGATTCATGTGTAGTTTATAAGGTACAGAGCCTTTTTGCTCCTTTATATTATAGCAAGCCAAGAAAACAGCATCAGTTCTTGTAAATTTACTGTTAAACATGAGTCACAAAAGAAAATATACATTCAAGGTCACTGACCCCCCAGCCCTGGCCATAAATATACTTAAAACTTTAAAACACTAGCAAATTCCATCTATCTATGAAAAGAGAGTTGCTGGCCCTATGTAGACTCTACTTTTGACAATTTAGAAAATTATTGTTGTACTAAATTCCATGTATAGTGGTTCCTCTACCTTGCATGCAGAATGCTCTTTTTGTGGCAGGTTCTAAAGTGATGGACTGAAATCAGGAAACTGTGATCAGGAATGGCATCCATCAGGGAAAAAACAATTTCATTTAATGGAAAATTTTAAATATGCAATTTATTTTTATACTACTTTATTGTGGGTTAGGGGGCTGTTTGTTGTTGTTGCTGTTGTTTGCAGCTATTATTGCTCTCATTCTCCAAATCTAAGGGCCAGAGTCATCTCTGGAGTTCATCAGAGAATACAGCAATCTCCTATGTTTTCCTCATCGGGTTTTACCAGAAATCATAGTTTTTATTCCCCAAACCACATATAAAAAATGCAGGTGACTAAGGCTTTCTCACATGATCCCCAGCCATGGGAATAATGACTAGAATACTGGTGATTGTAGAGTTGGCTTCTCCAAGTTGAAGAAATGAATTCTCTAAATAAATGATTCCCTTAAAATTCACATTAGCACAAGTCTAACACCCGTGCTTTTGAAGACTATGATAGTCGTGGGAAGTAAAAAACTGTATTTGTGGCTGGGAGATGGCTCCAGGTGGGAAGCACTCACAATATTCATTACCTGGTGTGGATGTTCAGGGCTGTGCTACATGGGTGGAGGGGGCAGATCGGAGACTGCCTCTCCAGTCAGCCTGGCTACACATCAGCAAACAACCAAGAAATCCTGTTTCAATGAAGATGGAAGGCAAGGACCAACACCCATGAAGGTCGTCCTCTGACTTTCACCCACATGCCTTAACACATTCATGTCTGCACTCACACACACCACCACATACACCTGTGCACGCACAGCATATACAACACAAATGCATACATCATATATACCCATTCACACATGTCAGAAACACAGACACATTGGATACAACACATAAAATGAAAGTAAAAGCTACAGGTGACTGTTAGCTGCTTTGTGTGTCTAGAATTTGTTAAAAGAAAAATGCTTTTTCCTTGGTGTGTGGAAAGCACCTAACACTTTCTTCGGAAATTTACTGCACCGTATGGGCTTGTGTTGAGCTGACCCATACATGACCCATGGCCACTGAGCACTGGAAATGAGGCTAGGCCAAGCCACAATGTGCTGTCAATGGAAAATACACACTGGATTTTAAATACTTAGTATGAAAAATGCTTATATAAAGCCTGCCTGATACTTTATACTGACTGTAGGTTTGAATAGTGATATTTTGCATGAACCCAAGTAAATAAAGCACAATCTAAAACTTGTGATTCCAGTCCCTGCTACAAAGTGAGGGAACACGACTGCCAACACACATTTATAGTACAAATTCTGTAAGACAATTTCCTATAAGAATTTTAAAATTTGATTATATCTAAACCTAAACAATTTCATCTGAAGATTTCTTTCTTTTATCGTAGCTGATTTTTCTTTTTCCTAAGGGATGAGAGCAGATCTCAGTAGCAAAACAGGTGCTTAGTAGGAACTAGACCAGTGGTTCTCAACCTGTGTGTCGAAACCCCTTTGGGGGTGAATGACCTCTTTACAGGAGTCGCCTAAGACCATTGGGAAACACAGGTATTTATTTACATTACAACTCGTAATGGTAGTAAGACTACAGTTAGGAAATAGCAATAAAAATAATTTTATGGTTGGGGGTCACCACAACATGAACTATATTAAAAAGTTGCAGCATTAGATCCTGGGTTAAATCTTCAGCACTAACAGTAACTTTAAAATAAATCAAAAGTAGTTATTAAAAATTCCTTAATTTCATGATTGACTTGTGTTCAAAGCTCACATAGACGATCTGGTTCTGTTCAGCCAGATCAGCCCCAGCATCTTTGGACTTTGTTTATCTTTATTTTACATTGGCATGAGTATGCAAAGTCAGCTTTCAATTATCTGTGCAAGTGGGGACTGAGGATGCTTAAGATTACTATAGTCCCCTAGTAACACTAAATTGTAACTATGATTGTCAATTTCCTTTGTTGCTCAGTTTCTCCCCGTTACTGTCATAGAATAGTAAGAGGCCCAGGCTATGGGCTGAGACTGTACCAGTGCTGGAATGATGGCCTCAGATTGGAGGGTCCTGGATTCAGTCCTCAGTACAATAGAAAGGGGAGAAAAAAAGGATGTGGCTTGAGATTCATTCTCTTCCTCTCCCTTTTAAAATGTGTCCTGCATAAAGGGAGCAAGGAAAATGGATAAAAAACAAAGGCTAAATAAAATACATGAAATTATGCAGATATATGCAGAAGAAAAATTAGAGACGGAGAGCTATTCTTAATTTGAAATAAATATATTTTCTCCACATTATATGCATGGGCTATCATACCAAAAAAAAAAAAAAACTCTCAAAAGGAAGTTTTTGAAAACTGGCCACAGAGATAAAATTATATACTAATTTTTAAAAAATTATTTATGTATAGTTCTTTTTGTTTCTACTGAGTAAATCTTACTGGTTGTCAGTCATGAGACCTCTTACCTTCTCCACAATGCAAGCACATTCTAAAATTTCCAAGCAAGGAGATATGAATCCATAAGAAATTTGTTTTTGCTCTTGGAGCTCGGGAAGCCTGGCAGAAGACACAAATCAGAGGGAAATAATTACCCCTATTCTACATCTGGGAAGCTTTTCACTCTGGTCCTCCTAACATGCGACACAAAAGACCCTCATCTGGCCTTGCCTGGCTTCCCTCCCTTGACTCCGTTGACTTGTTTTTTATCCTTTTGCATTTTCAATTCATTTAAGTCTGACCACTTTTATGTTGTTAGTGGCAGGATGGCCCAGGTTCCGTCTGCCATCCTACAGCCTTAGCCATGGTTGGAAATGACTCACACGGGGAACCCATTGGCTCCCAGGGTAAGAAACAATAACAACAATATTTGCTGAAGTTATGGGAATACTTTTTCTTCTAGAGTTTTGCGGCCACTGTTTTCATTTGGCTTGGAAAGTTTTAAGAAATTGTTTGATCCACCGTCTGTTCCTTTGTTTGTTTTTCCCTCTGTAAAAAATGCAGAATGTGGCCGTGGCCCCTGGTTCAGCTGACAGGGTTGCTAATGGTGATGGGATGCCCGGAGGAGATGAACAAGCAGAAAATAAGGAAGAAGATACCTCCGGGGTCGTGAAGTTTGGATGGGTGAAAGGCGTGCTGGTGAGAAACCTCTGTGTACAAAGGAACGCCACGTGCTGGGTGATCCCACCTGGTTCACCAGCCAGCCATGGATTCCAGACTTAGGAAGGGGGTTGGTAGGCTTGACCCAGGACCCCTTTTCACCCTCACTTTCGTCCACAGGTAAGATGCATGTTGAACATCTGGGGAGTCATGCTCTTCATTCGCCTCTCTTGGATTGTTGGAGAAGCCGGAATTGGTGAGCAATTTCCCCTTCTAAATGGTTTTTATGTAAATCGCGAGCTTAATAACAAACTGGGTTCCCTATCAATGCTGCAGAAGATGAAGGTCACAGAAGGCATTTACACTTGAGAACATTTTTTTTTTTTCCTCTCACAATGCTAGGGAGGAGAGGTGAGGCACTAGCTCCCGTGAGACTGGAATTTTCCAGTTTGCCCAACAGTCATGTGAATATTTCTACCTTTCTATGGGGTTCCAAGCATATGGGTGTATAAAGCATATTTATTTCAAATAATTATGGTCACACTTTGGAGTATATTGACATTCGATTTTTATTTGCCTCAAACTATCCCACTTCGGAAGACTGGCAAAACTTCACTTGGCAAAAACAACAGGTGGTAAAGTGGTAAAAACGTACATACAACTATATATGCGATCTGATTAATAAAAATGCTCCATTGCTGAACATTTTCCAAAGAAAGTAACTGTGTTGCTGTCAGAGATCAGCAGTAAACAGCGAATGTTTATAAACTATTCCCAACTATAAGCTTAAATGACAGTTGAAATGACTCCAGTCATTGCAAATGATTACTTACAATGTAGGTAACCAGCTTTTTTTTTTTTTTTTCAGAATAAAAAAAGATGGTATTATTCCAGGAGTAATGACTTAATGCTTTTCAATTACATTCCACTTAAAAACTCAGTTTTGCAAAGTGTTTTTATTAAGAAAAAGGAATTTGATCCCATTACAGATGGCAGTGAGCCACTGTGTGGTTGCTGGGAATTGAACTCAGGACCTCTGGAAGAGCAACCAATGCTCTTAACCTCTGAGCCACCTCTCTGTGAGTTCAAGGCCAGTATGGTCTACTTAGTGAGTTTCAGGACGGCCACCAAAGCTACAGAGAAACCCTATCTGGAAAAACCTATATATACGTTATTTGAAAAACTTATTTGAGTTTTACCTAAGTTCCCAACTTACTGGGATAAATATCAACAGTGTTCTGCTCTGTACACTGGAAAAAGATGGATTGCATGTTGAGGGAAGACTTAGAAGTGAGTATTGGTGTGGAGAGCACGGAAGCTCATCTGTGCCTTCTTATGCTGCTCAGGAAGGTATCTCAATTTGTGTATGGAAAGTACCTGGTGTTATCTACCTCCTGCAACACACCTTAGAACCAGCAGTTGACAACTGGAGAGGAAGGCTCCCCTCCAACAGGGAGCTCTGAGCCAGCCCCATCGCTTTTTTCCATGTTTCTTGTTCACCAGCTGCTATGTGCCTGACAAAAAAAAAAAAAAAAAGGCTGCTTGCCGGTTTGATGATGCGTAGCAAATGAATGCCTACAGCCACAGGGTCCAAAATAAGTAGATGCCGTTCCATGGAAAATCTGCAGCTTAATATTGCCAAGGCTTTGCTCCAGGGCTTCATGCAAAATTAGTTTTTTAAGGGCAGTTTAGTAACTTATTGAGATCATCAAGACGCAGTTCTTTGTGTGGAGGTGTGAGCACAGACAGCCAAAGGCAAGAGTAATTCTTTCTAATGTATGTATTTAACACCCATATGTTTGGGCAACAATCTGCACTTTAATCAGATCTTACGCAGCTCTTCACAGTCAACCCAGTTTCATGTTATTACAAAGGTATAGAGGATCCTCTCTCTGCTAAGCAATTTGCTTCACTTTTAGACAGTAGTGTGTCTCAACAAAATCATTTTATTTGTGTAGTGGAATCACGCATAGAAGTCAGTAGCGATCACTCTAACCTAACAGTGTGCCTTGAGTTTTCTGTTGTTTGGAGTTGCTGCTTTTTCACATGCTCTTTTAAGTCTCAAAGCATAGAATTTGTTAGCAGTAGAAACATCTTACCAACCTACATTGTTATAGACCTAAAGCTGATGGGACCAAATGTTTCCATATGGGGTTTTGTGTATTGCTAGTTTTCTCACTTGTTTTGCTGACTTCTCCATTCAGTGTTGCAGACATTCCTCTCTAGAGTCTAGATTGAATTCAGGTCCTGGATCATTTTTTTTTCCAGAACTTTCGACATCTTCATCTGGCTGGCACTTGCCCAATGTCAGCATCTTTGAGTCTGGGACTGTTAGTTTGGATAACTCTTCTGTGGAGGGGTCTTCTTATTGAGCTTTCTAATATTCTTTCTTTTTTAAAGATTTATTTATAATGTATACAGTATTCTGTCTGCATGTATCCCTGCATGCCAGAAGAAAGCATCAGATTTCATTACAGATGGTTGTGAACCACCATGTGGTTGCTGGAAATTGAACACATGACCTCTTAACCACTGAGCTATCTCTCCAGCCCCCTGGTACCATTTGATGAGGCAGCCAAAACACACACCCAACACAAAAAAAAAAAATCTTTTTTTTTTGTTTTCTCCCCCCACACCCCCCAACACCCCCCCCCACCACACCCACACCCCCCAACACACCCACACACACACACACACACACACACACACACACACACACACAGAAACTGTCCAGAGGACACTGTGTTTGGCTTACTTCTTCCTAGAAGAAAAGACACAAATACAAGTATTTTCTTTTTGTTTTAGGCATAGCTTATATATTTTCAAGCCCAGACCCTGGGGATAAGCCCACAGGCAGCCATTCTGGGGCTCTGAGTCTGGGCTGCCTCGTTCATAAAATCATGTGATTGACTGAGTTGATAATGCTGTCCACTGGTTCCACTCTTTGCACACCTTTCTGGGGAGGTATCATTTCAAATAAACTCAACATTAGGCAGGGAAGTTGGGTGTAAAAAGTCAATGTGACCTGAAGCAAGTCACTTACACTCTGAGTTTCACTTTGCAGCTAAAACATAGGAAAATGAGTTAATTCTTCCCCAATCAATTATTTGAAGATATAGCAAAAACAAAACAAAACAAAAAAACTTGCTGAATGGGCAGATACAAGTTGAGATGGGCTGAGGCTAAACTACTCATCTCCCTATAGTATGAGCAAGAATTATCTTAAAGTGAAATTGAAGATTGCAGAAGCCTGGGATTCACTTTCAAAGCTCTGAACCTAGCAAGGTGGGCATATTTTTTTGTGGGCATGCCCGGCGCTTCATGCAAAAGCAGGTCATGCAAAAGCCATGAACCAAATGCTCGCTCAGCTGCCTTTCACCCTGGGACTTTTTGTTTGTGAGAAAGAAGCAAGTTTCTCACTGATTTAAAGGAGAAACTGGTGTCCAAACCTGTTACAGAAATGCATGCAGCACGATAGAGTGAAGTGGGAATTGCTCAGGAGACAATGATCAGGAAAAAATGAAGTCAGAGTGGGAGTAACGTCATGCCGTGCAAGCTTGTGAGCCCGTCAAGTGTCTAGGGAGTGCTAAACACTCATTCTCTAACATCCTAAAAGCAAAGTAATGTGTGGACGCTGGGGAATAAACCACCTTTCATGGCACCAGCATCCAAGGCCACACAAGAGAAGTGACGCTCCTCATAGTGTCTCTGTAACACAAAACATGTAGTGTGACCCCTTCCTACAGCTTCCTCTATAAGAGTCTGTGGCAGGGGTGGTAAAATGGGAATGACTACTTTATGTGTGGGATAACACTCAATGGCATGCCGTAGAGCAAAACATTCTAGGTGGAGTCACTGACCTCTCCATAATCTTCTCTCTGAATTCTGTATCAACTTCTGCAGAGAGGGTGTTATTGGGGGGGGGTGGATAAGTTTCCTTCTGTCCATCTTAGGTTCGTAGACTGTGGCCTCATGCTTTAGATTGTCACACATCAGGTTAACAAAAGAGCACATTTATTAATGTACTGTGCACACACATGGGAGGACTCGGTGGTGGGTGGTGATTCAGAGGGATAGTTAGAACACTTGTTATGTCATTTAACAAAGGACAAGGAAACTGGAGGGAAGACACTAGACAAAGAGAAGGGAATTTGAGTTCCTAAGGTGGCCAATTGTGGGAAGGAAAACAAATAGAAAAATTTGCTAGGAGAAAAGGACTGGCCTGGAAGGCTTGCTGGATTCTTGTGGAAATTTCTGCAAGCTAAGGGGTCCACACTTGTCTCTGTAGGTGACACCAGTCTTTCCAGATAATGGAAGCATGGACACATCCACATGTGTGCCCCTGACCTGGATGAACAGGAAAACTGAGAGCTTTCCTGGTGCCTGCTTGGTTTATGTTCCCTTGTGTAACTTAAAAAAAAAAATACCTTATACCATAATGATACATTCCAGTACATTCTATGTCTGCCTAAATCACACACACACACACACACACACACACACACACACACACACACACACACCACCACACACCGCCCACACAAACACCCCACACACACACACACACACACACACACACACACACACACACACACACACACACACCTGCTGTGAGTTGAAACTACAGTGCCTAAGCCTTTCTTTTGAACTTTGGCCTTTATCAGTTTCTCCTCACAACCGCTGCCCTTCTGAACCATAACATCCTCAAGGGTGGCTTTTTCATTCTGTTGTATTTGTGGCTTGCATTTCTTGCACTGCTAACCACACATCTAGATATGCAGAAGGCTTTTCATAAACACTAGTATTTATGAGTGCTGTGGGTACCCTCATAGAGTACCCCCAGTGAGTACTGTGCACCATGACAGCAACTTCACACATGCACTCCTTCTAATTTAACTGCCATTTGGGTGTCAGAAAATAAGTAAATTCGGAGGACACACAGCAAATAAGTTAATGTACCTAAATTTGCTTCTGTCTGATTTACCCATCTACCTAATGAACAATTTGCTAATGAAGACATTTACCTGGAAAGTTAGAACAACCTTCATTTGTACTAACAGCTGGAGGCTATGGGGAACTTCATCAAAGACCAGGTTCATCCTCCGTTTTGACCAACCCAAATTGTTCACTTGGGGGCAGCACAGCTCTGCACATTCCTGATCTTGAATCTCTTAGTACCTGAGGGCGATTTCATGGCCAACTCGTTAAATTCAAATGTGGTCCTTCAATGAGTACCCAGATGTGTTTGCTTTTATATAAATGACCCAATGAGCTGTTCCACCATTTAATCGCACTTATTTCTCCTCTCTCAACTGAGGTCTCGGTGTGATTATCATCGGCTTAGCCGTGACAGTGACAGCCATCACTGGTTTATCCACCTCTGCTATCGCCACAAATGGATATGTCAGAGGAGGTAATTAAGGTTGTGAGTCTGATCACCATGTGTAAGATAAAGGTAATGCAGGCTCCAATAGTTCACCGCTGACCTTTCTGGGCTGTTTTCAAAGGTAATGCAAGTTGGTGCCTTTTGTCCCCCAGGCAAAGAGGTGCACGAGAAATGAAGAAGGGTTTAACCTTTGTCAAATCCCCAACTTTCTCATTCAGGTTCCTCTCAAGCAAGAGAGAAGGTCAAATGTCATGTTTCCTCTTTCACAGCCAGGGTAGTTTCTCTCCCAGGACACCATCAGAAGCCAGCTTTTCCTTTCCAGGGTTGCACTTTAGACTGCTGATTCTTGGATGCCATCCTTCATCATAATGAGTGCTTCTTGGACGTGTTCTTTATGCCAGACGTACCAACTCCACGTTTGTACAAAGAAACCCCACTGGGGCCCAAGGCATGGACCTGAAAAGTTAAAACAGAAGGCAGTTTAGGCTGCAGGAGTAGGGACTCCAAGGAGACGAGTAAAATGTGATGTCTTCTGTCTTTCATTGCTAACAGGTCTCGGAGTTCTTATAATTCTTCTTTCCACCATGGTCACCTCTATCACTGGGTTGTCAACTTCTGCAATAGCAACAAACGGGTTTGTTCGTGGAGGTAAAATCCCTAAGTTATCTAATGTCCTCATCACATGTTACCGGTAGGCACAAGTTTTCTATGTACTTTGTAACCAATGGTCACCAGAAAGTGCGGAGGAACCCACTACAGAGAGCAGCTCGGTGAGTGCGTCCACCCTGGTCACAGCTAACAGAATCTCAGCACGTTTCAGGTCCTGCTCCAGATGCACGCAGTCCTTGCGGAAAGTTCTTATTTTCCAGGTCAGTCTGTACACCTCTTGCAGGTGTGTCTCAGGAAACGACTCATCAGAATGGCCACCATTTAAAAGTACAGTGCATTTCAGGTGCCTCCCACACCACCATGGAATGGGACTGATTAGAGCATTTCAGGTTTCTGCAGGGCAACTGACCTTCTGTGACCTTCTGCTCCCTGATGTAATGGCCATCTCTCTACCTACTGGAGTCAAACACCTTTGTTGGGGGTTTTTCAGGTCTGGGAGTCATCATCATTGGCCTGAGCGTAGTAGTGACGACACTCACAGGTATTTCTATGTCTGCCATTTGCACAAATGGAGTGGTTCGAGGAGGTAAGCCAACTGACTTACTTGTGACTCTAAACGATGGTCTCATATCCTGTCCAGAGATGCTTAATAACTGGGTATGAAAATCTTATGTTGCTAACTGGCCCCCAAGACTTGAAACAAAGCAAAATTTAAAAAGCAAGGTAAGATTCTTCTCAATTGAGAAAGAAGAGATCTGGAGGAAAGGCTCCTGCGGTGAATCCCACCAGGTGAGCTATACTGGCTCCCTCCCTGGGTCCCCTCAGCCTGGTGCTCCCCAACACCCCACCTCACAGGGGCTATTCCCACACAGCCAACATCCCTGCACCCAGCCTTCAGGTTCTCCCCCAAACACTCTGCTTCTATTGGGAAACATAATAGAAAAATTACTAAGTGAAACAATGAGTTACTGTCAAGTTTTCAGGTCCAGGCAGGTCGGGGTAGAAAATAAAGCAGATGAAGTTAGTAACTGGCCTAATTGCACTCGCACTGTTCATCAGGACTCAGCTAATTTTTGCCTTGGCTGTTTTAGTCTAGTCTCCCTGCTTGGGGCTTTTTGTTGTCAGTGGTGAGTGTTGGTAGGGGGAGGTGTTTTGTTGTTTTTTTTTTTTTAAGATTTATCTTTATCTTTAATTATGTGTGTGTGTGTGTGTGTGTGTGTGTGTGTGTGTGTGTGTGTGTGTGTGTGTGTGTGTGTGTGTGTGTGTCGGGGGGGACAAGGGGTGGTATGTTCACATCAGTAGAGGTGCTAGAGGAGGCCAGAAGATGGCAGTAGAGTCACAGGTGGCTGTGAGCTACTTGACTTGGGTGCTGGAAACTCAGGTCCTCTGCTTTTTAAAACAATAAACACTCCCAGTCCCTGAGCCATCTCTAGCCTGGTTTTGAGATAAAGTCTTATTCTGGCTTTGAGTCCACGACACCCCACTTGCCTTAGCCTTTCACACTCCTTGATTGCAGGCGTGAGTGCCACTCTTGCCTCCCCCACCTCCGCCCAGGGCTCTCCAAAACATCACCCTATCCACAACACACCTTCACTCCCAACTTAAGTCGTATTAATTGCTTTTTAAAAGATTTATTTTATGTGTATGAGTATTTGCCTGCATCTATGTGTATGTGCCCTGTGTGTGCCTGGTGCCCAAGGAAGTCAGAAGAGGGCAAACTGGAATTGGAATTACATATGGTCTTGAGCCACCACATGGGTGCTGAGGATTGAACCCCGATGCTTTGCAAGAGCAACAAGGGCCCCTAACCTTGGGAACCAGTTCTCCAGCACCTATCTGTCTCGCTTTTTGACTGTTATGCTCATGCAACTGTCCAGTCAATTTTGTTGTGCAAAGTTAGGTTTTAAAATGTGTGGAGATTTGCTCTACCAGATCTGCTCCATTTTGAGAACTCATCCATACAGAGCACAGTTCCTCCTCCTCCATAAAAGGGGGTCTTGTTCTGTTTGCTTGTCCAGTGTTGACTCCTCAGACTCCCATGACTAGCTCCACCTAAGAAGTCATTACAATGTCTATATCCCTCAGCTAGCCCATTTTAGTGTTAGTCACTTGCTCTAAGCTCTGGAGTGGTCCCCTTTGGTTTTCATGTCACAGAAGTGGGTGGCCATTTACAAATTTATTCTTTAGTGTTCAAGGAAGAACAATGGTTCCCAGCCCTCCCTCTGTATTGCTTTCCATTCCACATCCTTATGATGGGAACTCAAGCTTCCTTAGGCTAAAAGCAGAACACAAGGCTGCTTTGCAGAGTGGATAACACACGCACAATAGATACAGCTGTTCATTTTACAGATTAGCTACCAGGAAAGTTCATGCAATAGAATGGAAGTTACAAATAAAAAAGGATCAACTGCTTTCTTCTTTTGAGTCAGGGTTCTATGTAGCCCAGGCTAGCCTCAAATTTACTATCGCTGAGGATGACCTTGAAGACCTAATTCTCCTGCCTCCACCACCCAAGGGCTAGGATAACAGGTTGTGCCACAACACCAGAAAAGAAGAAGTTCTGCCATTTCGCTTTTCTACCCTGGTCTGTCTGTTTCTGGAAATTTTTCTAAAATTTTACTTTAGTTACATTATTAATTTGGATACACTAATGATTTTTTTTAAAAAACACAAAGCATTTGGGTAAAGCTTATTGTTATTATTTATTAAGTTAAATCAGAGTTCTAACTTGTAAGCTTTAATAGATTGGATTTTATCAGCACACACTTTCTGGGCTATGTACAGAGTACAAGGCAGGTCTGCCTACAGGTACTCATTATGATGACACAGGTCTTTTAAAATGACTAGGAATCCAAAATAGTCTCGTTGGGATGATTAACGGTTGGGGTTTAACCATAGAGGGTGGGGAGTTCGGCATCTCCTCCAGGTGATACAAGCTGCTCTTGTTGCAGGTGGAGCCTACTACCTGATTTCCCGGAGCTTAGGGCCTGAGTTCGGTGGGTCCATAGGCTTGATCTTTGCTTTCGCCAACGCAGTGGCTGTCGCCATGTATGTGGTGGGGTTTGCAGAGACTGTGGTAGATCTCCTTAAGGTAATTAAAGCTCTTCTTTGTAGACAAACAAAGTAACTCAATTTTCTTTTACAGGGCCCTAGGAGGTAGTTTCATGTCAAGATAAGAGAAAGAGTTCAGTATCCTTGCAGGAGCCCCAGGCTTAATGTTGGAAGGTCTGGCTTCAGCCCTCACCCTACCATCTGGGAGACTTTAGACACAGTTTCCTCTGCATCAGAGGCTTGTTTTCTAAAGTTGAAAGAGGAGCTGATTTACTGCTTCGTGCATTTCACAGAGTTCCATGCAGATCAGATAAAAAGGATGTATATGGAGAGTGTGTAAAATACAAAGCTTCAGGTAGACAGCAGGCATCATTTCCTGTAGGCACACCACTGTTGCTCACAAGGTTTCCAAAGATGAAGAAAGTTCAAACAGAGAACAACTTGCTGCAGAAAATGAGGTCCCTCTTAGCTAAGTGCCTGATCGAGTTGCCCTGGGAACAAGCTCTTTGAACCTGTGTGGTGTGGTAACGCCTCACCTTCCTCACCTTAAAGGTCTAGCTGGTTTTTCTGGTGATAGTACCTCTATGTGGAAATTACATGAATAAATGAGTGCAGTGTGTCTTTTTAAAGGTATATTCTCTTCAAGAGATATATTACTGAGTTGGTGTTCTCTGTTAAGTTGAACAACACTTATTTTCCAACATTCATATTGTAAGCCGCCTATTTTTATTCTTCTAAAATTCCCCATGGCACAGAAAAATAGCTATTTCTTTTGCTGAATCACAACACAAAAGATGTGGACATACATACTTGTAGTTAGTGCTGCAATATCTCCCGAAGCTGTTGTGACTAGAAGGAATTTCTAAGCTTTCTAGCTCCTAGCCTTGCCTATCAAAGGCCTATGTCACAGATAAAGTAAAGATGTTTTTGCCTTCCTGACCTTACACATACTTCATTTTCTTATTATCCTATATGCCCCAGGTATTTGTGTTCAGTATCTTTTCTTCTTCTTGAATATTATAAAATATACTGAATAAGAAGAGCGATCTCTAATCATTTGAGTGATTCCTTCCCAACAGGAGAGTGATTCAATGATGGTGGATCCAACCAATGACATCCGTATAATTGGTTCCATCACCGTGGTGATTCTTCTAGGCATCTCAGTAGCAGGGATGGAGTGGGAAGCAAAGGTGGGTATCTCTAAATAACACCATAACAAGTGCTGGCCAAGCCCTGAGTTAATCGCAGCAAAAAGAACACCATACTCACAAAGAATAGTTGTCATCCCTTCATTACAGCAAAAGCCATGAGTACACACAAGATGGCCATCATACCACTAAGTACCTGTAGTTGGACTTTCCTTTGGGCCACCAGCTCACAAGTAATGACATTGAGGCTTATTGTTAATTATGAAAGCTTGACCTTAGCTTAAGCTTTTTCCCAATTAGCTCTTATAACTTAAATTAATCTGTTTTTATTAATCTATGTTTTGCCACAAGCCTTGGTTACCTCTCCAACATCTTTAGTGTCTTGCTGGCATCTCTTACCTGCCTAGATTCATCCCAAGTTCCTCTCTCTGCCCGGAAGTCCTGCTTATTTTCTCCTTGCATAGCTATGGGCCATTCAATTCTTTATTAAACCAGTCACAGTGAAACATCTTCATACAGTATTAACAAATATTCTGTAGCAAGTACCAACTCTGGTCAGAACTCAAGCTTATGGATCGGGTCATCTGGCCATGTTTCACCTGGCTTGCTGCCGTTATGGTGACATAGCCAGCAAGGCTGATGCATCTTCACATACAATTATTGTCCAGACCAGCACTGCACACTGGAAACCCAGGTTTCATCCTCAAGTCCCAAGCAGAGAGGAGGGCAATATATTAAGCTTCAGCTGTACAGTGAGAATGTCCAGATTTGAACCTAGTTTATATTGTTGTTGCTTCTAACTTGGCCAATTTCCTTTGGTGTCACAGGCTCAAGTGATTCTCCTGGTCATTCTTCTCATTGCCATTGCAAACTTCTTCATTGGAACGGTCATTCCATCCAACAATGAGAAGAGATCCAGAGGCTTCTTCAACTACCAAGGTAAGTGGGACCAATTAGTCTCTTCTCAGTACATGTGTCTTATTGCTATACCCCATTGCTACCTGTCCCCAGCCACCAGAGTTCCTATGTAGTCCAGAAAAGGGCCTAGCATTGGATTCAGAAGACCCTTGGGTGGGTTTCAACTCTTGACTATCAGCTGAACAGGTTATACATACCCTGTTTGATTCTCAGACTTTCCCACTAAATTAATAATGACAACTTCCTGGAAGACTTTAAAAGTAAATATGTAAAGTATTTAAAATTTAAAAGTAATTTTAAGAAGTCAATCTTTTTCAATTGAAGATGCGTGAGGGTCTCTTGTAAATCCTTACATACTGGGTTATCTCTAGATGGCTAGACAATAGGAATAGAAACTACGTGTAGGGAACAAGAACCTGAATCTGGGAAAAATTATTAGCCACTTCTGAGAACTAATGTCAAATCAAGTCCTTTTGTCTTCCTGGGAGACTTTACAGTATCCAGCCTTACTGGAACATGACCTGCTGCCAGTCACTGTCCTGCTTTCAAGCAGCTTGAGTTAGGGGACTGGAGAGTTTGCTTAGCCTTTTACACAACTAACAACCATCTGTAACTCCAGGTTCAGGGGACCCAGCACTCTCTTCTGGCCTCTGTAGGCACATACATAAAAACCCAGGTCTTTAATGTGGTTATTTTGTCTGCTTTTCTCCGCAGTGGTTATTTTATTTGCATTGGGTTTTATTGTCCTTTCTTTTCTACCTTTGACCCTACTTTACTTCTTCCATTATTTTCAACTTTCTTTTCCCCTTTTCTCATCCCAGATTCCTTTCTTCGTTCAGTTTCTTCCTTGTTCTCTTCCTTTCTGTCTTTTCTCTATATTGCTTCCTCTTTGTTTAAGTGATTTGATGACAACCTACAGGACAGCATTCATCTAAGGACACAGCACCTCACCATGTTCTTATTCTCTGAAAATTGAGTATAAGGACCTAAGATTGGAACACAGAGAGGAAGAGCAGCGAGATTAGAGTACTAGAAACAAGCCTACACTACAGCCTGCTTCCCACGGGTCTCTTACGATTTGTCAAAGGCCTGGAAAGGCAGGCTATTTAAAGATACATACATGTGAGAATGTGATTATGAGCGAGCATGTGAACACGTGTAGTATATTGTGAGGGTGATAACATACTCCTGCAAGAATTACTTTTTTCTTGGCAATATTTATTGGTTGTTTAATTTTTTTCGTACAGTATATTCTAACCAGTTTTTCCTCCCTGGCAACTCCTCCCTGGTCCTCCCCATCTCCCAACCCACCCACCTCCATGCCCTTTCTTTATCTCTCTCCTTAGAAAACAGGTAAACAAACAGAATAAGGAAATAAAAACATAGAACAAAAAACACAGACTCACACAAAAATAAAACCTATAAAGCACAAAATCAGAACCCCATAATATACAAGCAAAAGATCTGCAAGAAAAAATGTTCAAATCAATCCATATGAGACAAAAAGTCTACAAAAATATCATTGAGGTTTTTTTTCTTTTTTCTTTTTTTTTTTTTGTATTGACCAGCCAGCCACTGTTTGGCATGGGGCCTCTCATAAGTGTAGTTTGTATGCCCAGTGAGACCCCCACTGGAGAAGACTAACATTCCCTTCTGCAGGAATTCCTTATCCCCTTTTCCCATTTCTTCTGTAAACTTGGTCTCTAATGACCTTTTCGGAGCTCTGTCTAGAGACCTAAGACCTAAATGTGTATCTAAAATGATAGGCACCTTGGTACTCCAGGAAAGGTAACAAACAGTTTCATATTTACTCTGCCTCAATTCTAAGCACCTATTTCCATCTAGAAATACAGAAGTCAAGACTGTAAGCTCCTACAGTGTGGCAAAACCCAAAAGGATGATGTTGCTCTTGCTTGCATTTCAGCATCCATATTTGCAGAAAACTTTGGGCCAAGCTTTACGAAGGGTGAAGGCTTCTTCTCCGTCTTTGCCATCTTTTTCCCAGCTGCCACCGGGATCCTTGCTGGTGCCAACATCTCTGGAGACCTGGAGGTATGTAGTCTCCTCTGCTTTGTTGTCCTGATGGTGGGAGTATAGTTGTTGGTAGCATGAGAAGCTGTACAGACTGAAGGTGTGCAGAAACTCAAGAATGAAGGTTTCTGCATGATTTCTTTGTTATTTACTCTCTCTCTCTCTCTCTCTCTCTCTCTCTCTCTCTCCTTCTCCCTCCTTTTTCTCTCCCCTTTAATTTTAAATCTAGACTCTTGACAATATAGTATAAATCCAAAACCCATATTCAGTGACATCCAGAAACAGTATATTCACAGCAAGTTATTTTTCAATAAAATTAACATAGTTTAGTGACTCAATTTCAGAATCACACCTTCCCTTTAAAAATCATAATGTCTAAAAACACAGGGAAAAACAAAAACAAATCAACAGTAGCAAACAGCCACATGAACAGTTCATCCTCAGGTCATAGCATTCTCCATCAAGTGCTACAAGGATCACTGTATTAGCTATGATGGTGATTGCAGTATTTTATGGAGGACCATCCACTAGCCATGACCAAAACAAGATCAGACTTCGTGTTTCTAGCACATGCATTTTGGAGCTCATAGACCATGCAACAAAATTAGAACATCCACTTCAAAAGGCAGCCCAGGGACTCAGAGAGCCTCTCCTCTTTCTACCTTGGGGTTCTCCCCTAACTTGAAGGTCCTGGGTGGTTAACCACTTTCTGATTCACACTCTACCTCCTACGAAGGGGACTAGGGCAGCAAAGGACAACCTCCACAAATCACTTCTGCTGACATTGCATTGGTCTGTATTTTGACTTATGTCCTTACTTAGCTTCAGGGGACTCTGAAACAGGTTCTGAAGTAGGACAACCATGTACCCCAATAAAGTCTGAGACATTCCAACAGTACAAGAAGGGTTAGAGGACAGTAAGAGTCTCTTTCATAAGAAGGACAAGGGTTTTACCTCACAGACATAAAAAGAAGATGCAAATCTTACCGCAACATATTTATAATCAATGTCAGAAGGTAAGGATTTGCAAGAGTCATCAGGAGACAGGTATTAAATGAAAAACATGCATGGGTCAATGGGGTCATGAAATAAAAGTACTTCACAAATAGTTGTTGGATTGATGAGGGTCAGTTTCCTCAAGGAGGAACTTGGGAAGCAAAGGCTAGAAGTTGACTGTTGGGGAAGAACAAGGCAAGTCTGGGCCGAGGAAGCAAGCAGAGTCTGGCATGAGACACTGAGGTTAGCAGGGAATCTCTTATATGTTAACTGGGGAAAGCCTGGCGAGGCTGGAGAGCCTCAGAAACTTCACAGGAGAGGAAGTGGTTGCAAATGCTCACTGTGGAGCATCAAACTCTGGAAGCAGGGACTTGGCTTTTGGCCTTACTCATTGTGCATCTTCGGAGACAGCATGGTCTTAATAGATATTGACTGAATGAGCGAATTAAGGATTTAGATTTGTTATGCTCCTCTCTTCACTTAGTGAAATTAAATTATGAACTCCTGTTTTCTCACTAACCGCAAAAGTATCAGTGCTCACTGATTTAAGCTCCCAGAAGCTACAGACAGGCTTTTAAATTGGAAAATATTATGCTGTCTTTAGATTTCTTAAAAAAACAAGGTGCTTAGTCAATTCATCTTACTTAATGCCTGAATGAAGGCCATGCTCGAGACAGGGGTTAAATCTCTGCTTTTGTTAGGGTTAGAAGAGATGGAGAGAATTTTCTTACTATAAGCCACAGTAAGAAAGGATCATAAGTCACAATCAAATGCAAGCAATGCTTTCTGACGTTTCAGTTCCATTATGTTCTATTCAATTCTATTCTTTAACACTGGGTTCACCTCATTGAGTCAATTTCTTGGCATAGTAGATGAGGAAGAGGAGGCTCAGAAATAGCTAATGACATCACAACACAAGTGTTGGGGAGCAGAGAGAGTCTGGAGCTGTAGGAAGAAAGACGGGACCGGGAGCTACTGCATGGGTGAACTTACCCAGGTAGATGCAAGAGGGGGGCAAGGCATCTAAGGAAGCAGGCAGCGGAGCAGGGGCGCTCAGAGTATTAATGTAGAAAAGGAAGGAGGGAGGGGGAGAAAGAGGGAGATAAGGACAGAGACAGGGAAACTGTTTAGTGAATGGAGAAACCAACAGTCCATAGACCCAGGAAAAAGGAAAGTGAAAAGTGAAATTATCTGAGACATCAGAGCATAGTTTAAAGTCAGAGTAGCCAAACATGTTAGCTCCCAGAGGTGAAATATTCTGAAAGATGGCAAGGAAACCTCTGTATCACTAGAATTTATTTTTTCTCTGAGGGCGAAAACAAAATAATAGTCATAATAATAAAATAATAATAATAATAATAATAATAATAATAATAATAATAATAATAATAATCAAGCCAATTCAGTTTAGGAGATACTGTTTATACGATATAGAGAGAAGCAGATGAGTAACCATTTCCAGACTCAGAATCCTTCTCAAGATGGCTCCTCACACTGTAGGGAAGAGTGACCAGGAACAGCATAACGGATGCACAGAGTCCCATCCTAAGCATTCTGTGTACGATAGCAATAGCATAACCGGAGCTGTCCTGAAAATCAGGATCTAGGAGAAAATTTGAGAAACACTTTGAGATGCAAAATTAGGGTGTGATTGTTAACCCCTAAGAAGCAGAAACCTAATTGATTACTGGTATCCTGTCCTGGCTTGAGGGCACTTTTAATGATGGAAAGGAGAAGTACCTTAGATTTGGGATAAATTCTTTTTTTTTTTTTTGGTTTTGAATTAATTTTTTAAATTTAAATTAGAAACAAGCTTGTTTTACATGTCAATGGTTTGGGATTAATTCTGAAGGAGGGTGAAAACTAAGAATGTGTCAGATTCCCAAGCTCCCTCTGTCAGTTGCAAGACTAAACAATCCCATTTTGGCCTGATCTTGTGGTACAAGATCATACATACATCAATACACTGGCATCATACGTTACCCAGTAGTGCCTTAGAGTCCAGTTGGCCCCCTTGTAACATGGACTCAACAGTTTCAGGGGTTATAGTAGGCAGCTGCAAGGGAAAGTTGTCTTCATGTCTATGTCACAAGGCTGTCTTTCACCTTCCACTTCCTATCCAATTATGCTCCAGTTAAGTCGGTTACATCACCCAGATCCCATGAAATTGTGGGGGTGTGTTTCACATGTTGGGAGGTATACATATTCGTGTGTGCTTTCAAAGCCCAGAGGTCAATATCAGGCCATTCCTGACCACACACAGTTTGTTTTGTTTGGGCAATAGTCTCTCCCTGGAATCTGGGGGTCATCAACTGGTCTAGACTGGCTGGCCAGTGAACTCCAGACACCCATCTGTCTCACCTTCCCAGTACTGGGATTTGAAGTGTGCCCACACTTGTTTTGTCTTGTTTCTTTAAACATGGATTCTAGGAATTGAACTCAGACCCTCACAATTTTGCAGCACTCTACTGAGCTACCTCCCAGCTCCCAATAAATTCTTAAGCAATAAAACAAAAGCAAATTTGAATAAGTAGGGCCCATTTCAGCCACACTGCCTTGTCTCCCTCGAAGGAACTGTTGTATTGCATACACCTGCACATTTGCTCTGGAGATAATGGAATGGAAGGAAGAGGCTGGGTACACATATCCCATCAAAACCCTGACATACAGATGTTCCTGGAAGAATTGGAGCATATATGGATTAGTGGCTGCATAGAGCTGGTTACAATGCACCCATCAGGAGCAGGTTTGCTTGGTTAAGGCATGGTTTCTAGTGATTGGATAGGGTCTGCATTTGCCAAGTGTTTTCAATGGACTTGACCATCATATTTAAGTTTAGGGAAAAAAATGCTCAAGCTTCATTTGCCTGTACTGATAGTTTATATGTATTGATGGGACTTGTATCCTCCAGCTGGGAAACCACTGCCTACTGGAATTGTACATTTCTCTGTTCAGTATTCATTGTCTCTTTCTAAATGCCAGATAGCTAGCTGCCTGTATAAGAAAATCATGCATCAAAATATTTGTTTAATAATTTCTTAAATTGAATTAAATATAATCCAATAAGCTGCTTGGAAGTCAGTTTGATACAATTTAACAGTCCCTTCCAAAACCAGATATAACTGGTGAATTAAATATGTGGACTCAATGCAATGTATGCACATACATTTATAAGCAAGAGAAAAGCTTGTTTTCTGGTATAGGGTTGACCTTACCTCTTTACTGAGCTTTCTCAAGGAAATGAAGAATGTAGAGAGACTGGAGAATTTGGCATATGATCCTTTTTGCTCAGCCAGAATGGTGTTTTTGTTCTGTCTTGTTTTTCTTTGTCTGTTGGTTTTAATTAAAGACAAGCCTAAGCTCAGAATAAAACATGCATATGACCAGATATTGTCAACATGCCAGATAAGTTTGTGTCTGATGCTTCTACATGCAATTCACATGGAGAGAAAGAGAGAGGTCTGCTCCACTTCTATAACATCTCTCTTTAGACGGGAGTGTTCTCTTCAGTTCAGCACTGAGGCTTTGTTTGTTTGGTTTTTTTTTTAATGGTTGGATTTGCTTATTAAAAATAGAACCACTTAGGGCTGGAGAAATGGTTCAGAGGTTAAGAGTACTGTCTGCTCTTCCAGAGGTCCTGAGTTCAATTCCCAGCAATCATGTGGTGGCTCATAACCATCTATAATGAGATCTGATGCCCTCTTCTGGCCCAAAGGCAGACATGCAGGCAGAACACTGTATATAAGAAATAAATAAATACATAATAGAATCACTTTTCTCTTTTCCTTTTTTAATTGAAAATAGATTTTTATGCAATATATTCTGATTACAGTTTCCCTTCCCCCTACTCCTTTCAAAACCTCCCCATCTTCCCGTCTAGACCCACCCCCTTCCTGTATCTCCTTAGAAAACAGATATCTAAGAAATAATAAAAAAAATGACCTATAATACAATAAAATAAAAAAAAAACAAATATAGGGCAAAATAACCAAACAAAGGGGAAAAAAACAAAGAGAAAACACAAGAAACACATATAGGCATGGAGATACACATGTTCACACATAAGAATCCCATAAAAACACAAAACTGGAAATATCTATATGCACAAAGGACATGTAAGGCAAAAAAAAAAAAAAAAAAAAAAAAGCCTGACTTATCATGAGACAAGGAACATCCAAAGATGCCATTGAGTTAATTGTCTGTTCCTTCACAGTGGTTTGTTTACCCAGTGAGACTCCCTTGGAGAAAGCTAATTTCTCATTTACAAGTGCTTATCAATTGGAAATGGCTTCTGGGTTAGGGATACAAGCATGTGTCTACTTTTCCTTTCAGCTCTAGGATCCCATCTGCTATAGACTGGTGTAAGCTCTGTGAGTTTATATGCAGTACCAAGTTTCATATTCCATTATTCACTCTAAATACTCTGTCCAGAGGACTGTTCACTTCTCCATTTGCTAGATACTTTCTTTAGAGCTTGCCTTAGGAAGCATAGATTAACATTTTGCAAATACAGAAATAACTACTAGTACTCTGTTAATTATTCAGTTCTGTTTTCTCCTCTGCTCAATTTTTCACAGGATCCCCAGGATGCCATCCCCAGAGGGACCATGCTGGCCATTTTCATCACCACAGTTGCCTACATAGGTGTCGCTATTTGTGTAGGTGAGTAAAACATCCCTGATGTCAGAATTTCAGGGAGTCCAGTGGTTCTTTGCACTAATGGCTTTTCATGGAACATGAGTAGAAAGTTTTGTTTTGTTCTTAAAGCAGCAACTTTACTTCCTTTCTTGGTACTTAATGGTTTGTATCTTTGGGGGCCTTTGATGCAATTAAAATGCAATGCAGACATCTTAGGATCAGTGTTTTAAAAGAGCCTATCAAATTGTTGTTATGCCCTGGCCTAAAGAAGGCCCCGCCTTGCTACCCTTGATGATCTCACTGCTGGGAAAGCTGCCACTTCTAGCACTCAGCTCTTGAGCCCTCTGAGGTGAGAACAAGAGCAGAGTAAAGTCGGAAAAAAAAAATCAAACGAAACCCAAACCTGGCAAAGAAACTTACAAAATATGAGGAATTCACAACAATATCTCATGTCTAACTTGGAAGTGTCATTGACACCAGCTGCCAGGAAATCAGCCGAGCCCAGCTGTTAGCAGTGTAGAAGCCAGCCCCATGTTTCTGGGTGAGCCCAGCATGGCGTATCTACCTTTCCAGATGCCACAAAGCAGGCTTTGGCTCTACCCGATGCCTGCGGCCACTCCTCTTAGAGCCACCACAAGCTTATGGCAAGAAAGGAATGTGTTTTCCAACACAAAGAGAAGAAACCCTCTTCAGTGCACAGTGAGGAATTCAAGCCAGGGTTGGACAACTATGGAAGCCTGGTGGCCATTTGACCAAAGGGTAAACTCCTATAGCCCTCTGCTTGCTATAAGAAAAAAATTGGAAAAGTCAATATGTCTTAAATTGATTTCTGAAGGGGAAAAAAAAAAGCAAAAAGTTAAGACTGTTGCCTATGTTTTTTTTTAACTTATTTATTATGTATACAACATTCTGCTTCCATGTATATCTGCACACGTGAAGAGGGCACCAGATCTCATAAGGGATGGTTGTGAGCCACCATGTGGTTGCTGGGAATTGAACTCAGGACCTCTGGAAGAGCAGTTGGTGCTCTTAACCTCTGAGCCAGGTTAATCTCTCCAGCCAACTGTTGCCTATCTTGCTGCTTCTTGTGTGAGAAACCTAGTAAGGTTGTTCAGTGCCCTGTGGCAGTCTGTGCTGTTACACAGGAAGCCATTTTCTGATTCAGTGCATTAGGACATCAACGACTTTAGAGTGACACTGAAGCCATCTGGGGTTACATCTTCCAAATGTGGTTTTAGGTCAGCAGGTGCATGTTTAAGAAACACAGTAGGAGCAGGGTGACACATACTACCATGCCTGGTTTTACATAGGTTCTGGATGTTAAAATGAAGGTCCTCTTGCATGTGCAATGAGCACTTTACTGACTGAACCATGTCCCCAGCTGCTAATGGAAAGGCTTACCTCAGGTTAGAACCCATGACCATAAGTAAGACTCATATCCTCATACCAATGAGCAACCTTTAGAGCTGTCTTTTTTTTTTATTATTTAAGTAACATTTTTTTCATTTATTTTACATATCAACCACAGTTTCCCCTCCCTCTTCTCCTCCCAGTCCCCCTCCCATCTACCTCATTTCCCTTCTACTCCTCCTTCATCTCCATTTAGAAAGGGGCAGGTCTCCCCTGGGAGCTGCCTTAAAGGTAGTAGTAACGAATAAGAGGCACCCAGGGTGGAGTGGAAAAGCAAAAGTAACATCTTATTATTAGTTGGCATTTGGTTTGCAAAGAACCTATTATTTATGCATTTTTAAAACCTCATGTATATTTTAATGTATTTCAATAACAATCAAATACACAATGGCAGAGATTATGAGTCAGAAAAACTCAATGCATCATTGTTGTTTTAACTTTGGCACAGTGGCTGTGCCTTACACAGCCAGCGATTGCGACTCTGCAGTCACCAGCCTGCTTATCTAGCAGCGGCCTGGCCTCTCAGGCCACAACCTAAGGAGAATTCTGCTCCCACAGGCACTGGCCCTGTCGCTGCCACTAAAGGTAGCTTTAACTAAATCTCTATCATTCTAATTATGAATAAGACTCGAGATAAAGGCTGGGGTGAAAACCTGTGAGCTCAGAGAGGCTGAGTAGCAACTAGCTAACCATCTCTCCTTGCTGGCTTCCATGGAAGACCCCTGCATTAGCTTCTCCAAACCAGAAAAAGCTGCGCCACTCCAAACCCCACTCTACTACTTCCTGTGTCTCTCTGTCTCTCCACGATGCCCCCTAGTACTCTATGATTACTTTCTGTCAACTAGTTGTTCATGTAGCCTCCTGTCCCAAGGTTAATTTTATTTAATTAATACAAATGCAAACTTGGGGTTCACAGTATAATCGAATACCTTCCAACACGTCATTGTATTTTCTCATCCTTGGTCCTCCATAGCACTTTCTTATACACCCTTCCCCTCCCTTTAGTATCGGCCCTCTCCCTAATTGGTCCCCCTTATACTTCCACATTGTATATATGTACATGTTTATATGTAGATACACACACACACGTAGATATGCACATATATAGAGATCCAGATTTAAATCTAAATTCTACATATGAGGGAAAACTTGCAGTATTTACCTTTCTGACTTTGGCTTATTTTGCTTAGTATGATGATTTCCATTCCATCCATTTTCTGACAAATAACGTACTTTCGTTTTTCTTCTTGAGAATACTCTTTGCTCTTGAGAAGGACCCAGGTTCAGTTGCCAGCACCCACATGGTGACTCACAACCATCAGTATCTCCAGTTCCAGGGACTCTAGTGTCCTCATCTGACCTGCAGGGACCAGGCACATACATAGAGCCCACAAACACATGCAGGCAAAGCATACATACACATAAAAGACCACATAAATACGTCTAAAAACAAAGGCATTCAAAATGCTCTCAATTCTGTTTCTGAGACTCAACCCTGTAGAAACATTTTGAAATTTAGAAGAAAATGTTAATGCACAAAGATGGTCATCATACAAGGTTTATAATATAAAATGATGGAAGTATTCAAATGTGTGAAAATAATGAAACAGAAAGAAGTAAGATGGTCTCATCGTTAATACTAATGGCTAGTTAGGAAATTACTAGTATTTATCCCAAAGAACTGCCTTATTTACTTCTTTTGTTCAGTTAACATACAGAGGGGTGCACACCATTACGACATCCACAGAAGTATTTGTCAGAACACTTGGTTCTGAGTTGTTCGGTCTCATATGCGTATACGGGCATATGCTCTTCCCCAAGCCCTCTCTTTGCCTCTTTCTTCCCCATGTCACTTCCTGCATCTGCTTTCCTATTTCCTGTGTCCCGTTATCCTGTCTGTTTCTCACCTCTCCTAATACCACTTCATCTTCTCGCATAATATCCACGCTAGTCATATGACCTACAAACACATACTCACTCACATGTATGTATAATTTTAAACCTAGTTTCTACATCTGAAAGGAAACATGCAGTATTTGTCTTTCTGAGGCTGGTTTGTTGCAGTTAACATAATGATTTTCAGATGTGTCCATTTTCCTGCCACTGTCATAATTTCACTTTTCTTTCTGGCAGCATAAAATTCCATTGTGTAGACATCACACATACCCTCCACCCATTTATATGTTGACAGACATTTAAGCTACTTCCATGTCCTGACTATTGTGAGCAGGGGAGCAATAAGCATGGAAGTACACATAGCTCTGTGATATGTCTACTTAGAACTTTTTGTGGATGTAGCCAAGAGCATGTCTGGGTCTTAGATTAAACCTATTGTCAGTTTCTCAGGGACTATTCATACTGGTTCCCATGGGGGTTACACAAGTTTACATTGCCACCAACTAAGAGTTCATCTTTCCACACATCCCTACCAGCATATGCTGACCTTTGTTTTCTTTTCCTAAATTCATTTTATTTATGACATTATACTCTAAGTACATCATTTCCCCTTCCTTTCTGCATATGACAACCTTTTAAGCATCCTCTGAGGTGTGGGTTTGACACATATCACTGCCATAGTAAGTGTCTGCCCTAGGAGCCTTTATTTCTCCATCGATTCTAAAAGATAACTTTGCTGGTCAACAGTTATTTGCTTTGGGTTCTTGGGATATCTCATCCTAAGCTTTCTTGGCCTTAAGGGTGAGCTGTGAGATGCCTGGTGCTATTTTGTTGTTTCTGTCTTTGTAGGTGATTTGCCATTTCCCCCTTACAGCTTTGAAGATGATTTTCTTTGCCCTGTATTTTCAACATTATGACATCACAGAGATTCTTCTCTCATCGTGTCTATTTGGAATTCTAAATGCTTCTGGTGTTTGAATATCCGTGTCTTTAAATTTGGAGGGTTTCTGGTATAATTCGGTAGATTCTTGGTGTCTTTAGTGTTGGCCTCTTTCTTCTGTGCTGTGGATATGAGCGTTAGTGTCTCAGAGTCCTTAGATGTGGTCACACTTGTTTGCTACTGACGTTTCCTGTGCTGATATCTGAACACCATGCTCCATAGACCCCATCTTCCACCTCTCACATTCTTCCTTCTGTTTGTCAGGTTTCTTGGTGACCGGTCTGCTGGGCCTTTTATTTGATTCAGTGAGTTTTTTTGCTTTTTAATGCTTTGGTTTTTGCTTTTCTTTTCAAAAATCTTTGTTTCTTTGCTGAGTTGTCTGTGCTGCCGACTTTTTCGCCTGTATTGCTGATCTCCTTCATTTTGATGACTTTTTTCCCTATCTCCTGATGCTTCTCTCTATGGCCTGGACCAAATTCATCTGATAGTTTGTATCTTCTTTTAGGTTATTGATCATTTTTACCAAAAAACTGAAATCATCACACTGAATTTTGCACTTCTCTGTATCTTTGGGTTTAGCACTCCTGGAGTTACCATCTCTTGGAAGAGTCATGGCATTGGTAGCTAACAACTGTCTGTAACTCCAAGATCTGACACCCTCACACAGACATACATGCTAGCAAAATGCCAATGTATGTAAAATAAGAATAAATTATTTTTTAAAAGTTCAAAACCAAAATTAAATAAATATAATAAAGAGGATAAAACTGAAAAACATAAGAGTATTAAGAGAAAATAGTCTGGGCTGCAGAGGTGGCTAGACAGGTGTTAAGAGCACATATTGCTCTGGCAGAGGATCCAAGCCTGGTTCCCAGCACCCACATCGGGCGGCCCACACAACCTGTAACTCCAGATCCAGGAGATCCAAGGCCTGTGACCTTGTGAGCAACCTTGATCGTATGCACACATACTCACATAGACACACACAAACACACAATTGAAAATATAAACCTTTTTTTAATAGAAAAGAAAAGATGCCCGGCATTGGTGGCGCATGCCTTTAATCCCAGCACTCGGTAGGCTGAGGCAGGCAGATGTCTGTGAGTTTGAGGCCAGCCTGGTCTCCAGCGAGAGTGCCAGGATAGGCTCCAAAGCTACACAGAGAAACGCTGTCTCGAAAAAACAAAAAAGAAAGAGAGAAAGAAAGAAAGAAAGAAAGAAAGAAAGAAAGAAAGAGGAAAGAAAAAAGTCAATGAAGCAAATCCAAAATATAATAAAATGTAGAGAGGTGTGGTGTGGGGAAAAGCCAGAAAAGAAACAACGATGAAAAAAAAAATGTTGCCCAAAGTGGGGATAAAAATGCATAAGATAAGATGAATGTATGAAGAAAAATAAATATAAATATTAAGACGTTTCAAAAGATATAATACAGTGAAGATACTGCTAAATACGAAGGATGTGAGGGAGGAATCACAGTAGGGGAAAACGATGTTAAAATGGCTCCTACCTGGGTCTTCTGAATTGAAACTGCTAGTTACAAGCACTGGGGAAGGGGAGCCGGTTGAATTTGGGCTCCCTTCTCTCCTTTGGCTTACACTGTTGCCTACCCTGTCTGGGACAAGTGCAGGATGCCTCCCAGAGTTCACTGCACAGCCGCTGTTCTTCTTAGGGCACCAGGGACCTCTACTGGCCACTCAGTGCCCCTCTGTAAGATGGACAGTTTCTCTCACTTTCTGAGACCCCCAGATCATAAACCTGATGTACTGTTCTAGCAGAAGGATGTGGGGGTGTGGGAGCAGCCACCAAACTGAGATGGGTGCACGTGGAGGACCTGACATGGCACTGTCAAGGCTTCACCTGCTGAAGGGTGCACCCCTGGAACTTCTGAGTTATTGGGTTCTAAAGCAGGGAGCCATAGTTATCTTCGAATTTCATCTGCCTGTAAGCTTCAGGCTCCGAGGCATCAAACTCCAGGCTTGGTGGCCACCTGTACTCTTCAGTCCTCAATATCCAGCTCTCTGCTCTCCACAACTGCCTCCCTGAACCATCCCTCACCATAGGGTGGGTTGTAACAGGCCCAAGGCAAGATTTTCAAGATGCCTTCCAATCCCCACTGCTCTGAATGCCATCAGCAAAGCAGGATCTCTCTCACCGATGCTGCCTCATCAGCTGGAGAAATCACTGTGTCCCCAAATACTACAACAGGATTTAAGCTCATGAGGGCTTTGGCTTGTGCTGGGGGTGGAGCTGCCTGACCCTCACCCAGCTTATCTTTTGGAAATGGCTTCTGAATCCCATTGCCCATCCCAGGAACTGTGCAGGTGAAGTTCTGCTAAGCTTGCTACTCTGTGTAACAGTGCATCTCCCCTCAGCTCTTTTCCTTTCCTTCCTCCAGGGATTGCCAAAGCCCTGCCTATATTGCTGTTTGGGATGAAGTCTAATGTTTTTTATCCTATCTTTTTTTTCAGCAGTTCTCACATAGGCAGAAACTATGCAACCATCTTACTGGGAGGTGCTATCTTTGTTATTAAAGCAATTAAAATTACATATACATGACCTGAACAAGGAGGATGCCAAGAGACACACTATTGTGAATTGGGAGGGCGGGTAGGAAAACACACAAAGCCTCAACAATATACGAAGAACTATAGGGAACCAAGGAATGCTGAGAGCAGAAGAAACAGTCTTCCCCAGGGAAGAGCACAGCAATTGGTAACCCAATGCTATATGGCCAGCTCTGAAAACATACAGGCAAAGAATATACAGACTAAGCACACTGTATTCATGTGTTTTGAAACACACACTCTCGAATTAAACAAAAAAGAGGCCATGAATTTGAAAGAGCAAGATGGGTGGGTATGTGAGAGGGTTTGGAGGGAGGGCAGAGAAGAGGGAAATGTTATTATTTCATTGTAATCTCTTTAAGAAGTTTTAAGAATTACGTCTAAAGTAGAATTATTACTCTGTTTCTAAAATGTTTGCAAAGGATTAGTTGAAAACAAGGCCACATTATCTTGGTTATTCGATTCCTTAGTGCCTTCCCTTGATTGCCTCTCAGGTAATGAGAATTATTAAAACTCATGTGGTCAGTAGATGTGCACTAGACATGAGCTGTGTACATGCTATGCCAAAGCACCACACGCATTAGGAGATCAGAAAATAAGACAGTATCTCAGTGCCCAAGCCTCTTACAAGATAGCCTCAGGAGTGAGGACCACCCAAGGCAGTGTGAGTGACAGGGTGTTCAGAGGACTCAGAGGCTGGGAGCTCCAGGGACCGTGTCTCAAGAAGAATTGACAGTCTGCACAGGCTCTGAAAATATGTGTTCAGACTCAGTGCCAACTAAGCATGTTTTAGAACAAAACCCTCAGAGAGCAGGACTCTGACAAAGGGATGTCAAGATGATGAGATGATGTGGGGGGTCAGGGATTTAGCTCAGTGCTGCAGTGTTTGCTTCACAAGCACAAGGCCCTTGGCTCTGTCCCTAGCACTGAAAAGGAGCAAGGAGAAAAAAAAATGACAGACAAACATTGTCTCCTCAGCTGCATGTGTGGTCAGAGATGCCACTGGAAGCATAAATGACACCATCATTTCTGGGATGAGCTGCAACGGGTCTGCAGCCTGTGGGCTGGGCTATGACTTCTCAAGATGTCAACATGAACCATGTCAGTATGGGCTGATGAACAATTTTCAGGTATGAACTTTCAGAGAGAGAGAGAGAGAGAGAGAGAGAGAGAGAGAGAGAGAGAGGGAAAAAGGTTTGTTGCTATTGTCTGCATTTTCAGAATATCAAGTACAGTAAGGCTTCTGGATCTACAATTGATTACATATGGATTGATTTGAATTAAGTGAGGAGCAGGTGGCGTGGGAGCGAAAGAAGCCACGCAGGTGTTGTGTGTAGCAATTCCCATGCTTTTCGGGCACTATGGTAAGGAGACAGTAGATGGTGTGGGTTGTGTCACCAGGAGGGAGCACCATGTTGTTTCCATAGCTTTGAGTCAACTCTGTGAGACTGTGTGCTGGAAAGAAGAGGCTAACTAGCACTTGGAATGCATTTTGTGTACAGGCCAAGAGACAGGGCAAGGAGAAATTATGAATGAGAAACTGGGATGGAATTGAGAGCCGAGCAGCATAGGAAAGTACAGGACTTAAGGCATCCTAACTGTCCTACATGGTCAGTAAAGAGAGTAAGAAGCCAGTGGACTGAAAAGTCTGCATCCATCCAATTGTAACAACCCAGAGACATCAACTCTGCTGAATTCATTATTCCAAATTATGGCTTAAGCCGATAGGCTCCTCATAAACACATAAAATCTGTTCCCGGGGATCAGATTGGTACTGATATCATTTTCACTATTATTCTGAGGCAAACCATGAGTATCCCAATTATCTCAAAAAAATAAAGTTATGTTTAAAGAGCACAAGAAAAGCAAAGGTTTGGAAACTCTTTGGCAGAAGAAAAACCAATGCCTTAAAAAGACTGAAGGAAGGCAAGCCGTCCTCATACCTGTTCAACACCACCTGCTGTGGAGCAGAGCCTCTCCCACCAGAGCTACTGAGAGCACAGGGAGATGGAGATGCTATGAAAGTCCCTGGAGGCATTCTCTTCCTTAGTTTTTCCAGTGTTCTCTAAGTATTTTGTGGTGGGTATCTAGTGCTTGGTAAGTAAATAAAAAAAAGAGAGATCATTCCATCTTGAAAAGAGAAGTCTTACAAGTTCAAGAGTGAAGCAGGGGAGGGGGTATAGGGAACATTAGTTTATAAGATTGCAAATCACAGGAAGTGGAGAAGGAAGAAATTGTGCTGAAGAATAAGTAACTTTCAAACTGTCTGTTGGATGAGCTGCTTTATCAAACCCCTTTCTGTTCTCAAGGTCATGAGCATGGTGTCAGGGTTCGGCCCCCTCATCACCGCGGGGATCTTTTCGGCAACGCTCTCTTCAGCCCTGGCCTCCCTAGTCAGTGCGCCCAAAGTATTCCAGGTAATACAGCCGTGGAAGCGTGCACTGTCTTCACTGCATGCGAAACTATCTGAAATAGTGGTCCCCACAAGCAATCACTTTCCATCATTTTCTGCAACCGTTAATGCTTGCATCTGGCTCAAGCGCTGTGTCTGCCACATAGTGAAGATCGATTCTGATAATATAAAGACTGATGAGCCGCAGTGTTAACTTGCGCCTCATATTGTGAACGCTTAATCTTTCCCAAATCTTCTTTTCTGAATCACCTAGAGAAAATGACTGTGCATAGATATAAATGAAAAATGTCTTCTCTTTTCTCCCATTAGGCTCTGTGCAAGGACAACATCTTCAAAGGACTGCAGTTCTTCGCAAAGGGCTATGGGAAAAACAACGAGCCCCTGAGAGGATACTTTCTCACTTTTGTGATAGCCATGGCATTCATTCTCATCGGTGTGTAGTTTTCTTGTACTATTGAAAGCCAAAGAGCCTTCTTATTACTCAGGCTTTTGCTTTAGCTTGAGAAATTAGCTGGTTTATATTAAGACTCTGTCTGGAAATGTTTGTCTAAGAAGGAAGCAAGGAATCCTTACAAGGGGGCATTTGAGGGAGGGAGGTGGTCTGCAGACTTTGAACCTGAATGTTAGAAGACCAATGCAATACTTCCTAACCATGGGAGATTGGAAACACCTCCACCCTCCCACGCCATCTCTACGCACTAAGCTGATAGTTCTAAACTGGCAAGCTGAATTGTCTATACCAGCTGCATTTCTTTAAATGCAGCTCCTTGGCCATCTGCTCAGAATCACTGGGAAGTCCATGTTTCACAGACCCAAAGCCAAGGCTGCTGAATTAGAATCACTGAGGATTTGGAATATGCATATTACATGCTCCTCAAATCACTCCTAGACTTTTTTTTTTTTTGAGAACCATTTACCTGGACTATAACTTGAGTTTTCATTCCCAAGCAAACTAGAAGCGATCACATGGCCTCAAAAAGGCATATTTGCCAGCTTCACAACCCTTGCTCTCTCTTAAGACCAAAGCTAAGGGATCTTCTTTGAATGTGAAACACTGGAAACAACTATAATTTATGTGTCCTTATACAATGTCTATGAAGTTGGGGGGGGCTACATATAACTCCTTCAATTTGATAGACATTTAAGAAATTAAATAAAATGGTTTATATAGAGAAATATTCTAGTAATGCAATATAATGTTATAAGACTTCCAATTCTTGTCCTCTGTTGCGTTTAAATGTTTTATTACGTGTGTGTGTGTGTGTGTGTGTGTGTGTGTGTGTATGCACATATGTGCACATGCCTGAGCTTGCAAATCAGTCAAGAGACAACTTGTGGAAGGTTCTCTCCTTCAATGCAGGTCCCTGAGATCTAATTCAGGGAGTCAGGATTGGCAGCACACACCTTTACCTGCTGAGCCATCTTATTAGCCCCCTTCTGCATTTAAATGATCACACAACCAATTTTTAAAAACTGTATACATTAAATTATCTCCTTTAAAATCATTGATCTAATGTAACATATACTTTACATTATCTCCTTTAAAACCGCATGTATTTCCATCCTACAGAGCCTCTTGACTGTTTACACACAGCACACAAGCAATACAGGATTTGGTGCCTTCAAAATTCCTATAGAGGAGTTCATTATGCACTTAGCCCTGGTGTAGACAGAGGTCTGGATGGTCTATTTTGTGATTGGCAGGTTTTCTTGAGTCTCACTTCATGGAAACATTGGCTGAAAGTATGTATATAGCCCCAATGAAATTTCTTAAACTTTGATTTTGGCTATGTTTCCAACTTCTTACAGATTTTAGCTATGTGTTCAATTTGCAGAAGAAGTTGAGCTCCTAGGCCTGCACAGCTGTTTCTTCCCCACTGTCACTGCTCAGATCTTTCATGCACTGCTCTGTTTCTCTTGCAGCGGAGCTGAATGTCATCGCACCCATCATCTCCAACTTCTTCCTGGCCTCATATGCACTTATTAATTTCTCCTGTTTCCATGCCTCATACGCCAAATCTCCAGGTAAGCCAAAATAAAAACATAAGTCCAAGCAGTTAGTTTGTCTCGATAAAATGAACTAAGTCTGTGAAAAGTGTTCAATCTGTGTTTTTATGTTTCTTATATCTTAGTAGGCAGCATAATCCACTTTATTTTGGTGAGTTGGGGGGATGACTTCCGAAATAGAAAAAGAATCATATGAGCAATGGCCTTTTTGACCAACCGTAAAGTCAATTTTCTCCTGTGGCAATAAATTATTCATTGCAAGAGAAACCACATTTATTTCAGCAGTAGAAAAACACCACTATTTATTTCTAGGGTAAAAGTGACCACAGAAGTGGAATAAATGTATATATTTGAGACTTCCTCACTATCAATTTGTTTCCTGCCCATGGTGCAGAAGAGAAGGATGAGCAGTTCCCATAATTACCTGCTGAGTGCAGGCAATGCAGGTCTACTGTAGTGTTCATGCCAGGGACATCGGTGCACAATCGGGCTGCGGTCTTAAATGGTTTAAAATTTCACACCCAAGAGCCTTTCTCTACCTCATCACCCTTCAGGTCTTCTTTGCTTCTACTGCCCCAAAATCCCTTCTGTCACTTCCAGAAAGTCATCTGATGAGGTCCTATGACTCTCAGAAAGTTTTTCAACATGAGGACTTTCATCCAAGATACGAAATAAATACTCATTTATGGTTTGCCACCATCTCCAGCCTTATTGGCAGCAGGTTTGCTAAGGAGGCCAGGAGCCTGTGTCCACACAAGGCTACTAGTTATAGAAAGGGAGGCCATGGGGCCTGTATCCACGCAGGACTACTGGGTTATAGAAAATAAGTGAAGATTTTTAGTTTAGTGTGGTTTGTCTTTTAACATGAATCTGTAATTCCATGCCATGTTTTGCTATGTTAGAAAGAATCAAAACACAAAAACAAACCCAAAACAACCCAGTTACAATAATTATCAGAAGAATGGAAAGGAATAATGGGAAAGAGAAGGGGGAAGAAAAATAGAAAAAAAAAACACATGTATAGGAAGACTCATGTAGATACACAAACCCCAAAGGTGACTCTCCAAACCCACCCCACCCCCTCCCCATCCACCTTACCTCCATCAGCTATCTCTCAAAAGGGAGAAAAACTAAGCAAGTCGGGCTTTTCTAATGGCGTTCTTGGAGTGCTGTTTCCCTCTTGTGGCCATAGAGGAAATTGCTCCTCTAGACAGCTTTCCACGGGATTCCAATGACTCCAGATTTAAAGCGGTATTCACCCATTGACCCAATGCATCCTCCAACTCAGTTTTTCCCATCCTGACCGACTTGTTTCCTGGTCTCTTTCACTTTGGAAAACTAATGGAACATAGAAACCTGTGTGTATTGTAACTGTGACAGATACGTTGTAAAATACGATGTTATGCGTATTAATGTGATGAGTTTAAGGACCACGTATAGAAACATTCCTCCCCCTCTCTAAGATTATTGCTTTTGAAGGAGAAAACTCTGTCCCCTTAGGATGAATCTAATTCGGGCAGTCTCCACTGCTCTGCAAATGGAGCAAAAATCCACTTTAGTAACTGGCCCTTGCACAGACAGGAAGTTCTTCCATCCCACCTGTTGCCCGGACACCACCTTTTCCACCCTCCCTTCTTCCTTTCCATTCTGATGGTGCTGATTTTAGATGCTTGAGGTCTGGTAGTCTGGGAGGACAAGGAGGACATGTAGGAAGCATGGAGGGGTCTGGTACACGACCATCTACTTTCAGAATGCTTTATATTCCCCAAATTTTACAGCATTGTCTTTGGTACAAACAGTATCTTTGTAGACCAAGGATCTAACATCATGGAAAAATAGTTAAGAGTTAGAAAATGGACCTGAAAACTACATTTTTATGCAAGAAAAAGACAGGTTATCTGCACTCCTATAATACAGAGTGGTATAGCAGCAAAATTTTCCTATGTTATTTTTCCTTCCAGGATGGAGGCCAGCGTATGGGATTTATAACATGTGGGTATCTCTTTTTGGAGCTATTTTGTGCTGTGCAGTCATGTTTGTCATCAACTGGTGGGCAGCTGTCATCACCTATGTCATCGAGTTATCCCTCTACATCTATGTGACTTATAAGAAGCCAGGTGAGAGAAAAGAGGCCACCTAGGATGGGCTTCCATGGCTCTCTCTACCCATCCATTGAATTATAGCATGTAGCTTCCGTGTGCGCAAGACAGCTTATCACAATGCTGCATAATGTAAGGACAATGGTAATTAACAGCACGGAGCACTATACATGGCTCATTTAATCTGCACAGTGAAGCTGCACATTTGGTGGTGTGAGACTCATTTTAGAGGAGAAGAAATTTCAAAGAGTTGCTCACTTGCCAAAACACAAGTCAGGGTGTAACAGAGCTGACCAGAGGCGTGTGACCCCAAACCTCACAAGCCTCCCCGTCTATCTCCTTCTTCTAATGAGATAGAAGTCCTCAAGGGCTTCTCAGACTCAGAGCCAAGCAATTAACTATAATATAGTATATTATCACAAGCACACTATAAACAGATTGATGGGAAAAGGGAGGCATGAGCAACTTCGGTGTTGTTCAAAATTCTTTCTTGGTCCGTAGTTTGTATTCCCAGAGCCAACTACTCTACATGAATTTAGTCAATATTTGTTGAGTGAATGAATGAAGTTCTAAAACAAGATCAAGCTACATGGAGGTGGGTAGTGCCAGAGCCAGAGAATCAGAATCAAGGGAGAAGAATGGGAGTGAATTGTAGATGCATGCAATGGTGTGGAACATTTGGGAAGTCTCAAGGCCTTAACAGAAAAAGAATTCTTGAAGACCACGATGAGGCAAGAGGCATTCTAGAGGGATAGTCAACCCACCACAAAGCAAGGTCATTGTTGTAAGAAAGAATCGGGACATTGTGGGTCCCATGGCCTGAGCTTCATCTATTAATTTCAGAACCCAAGAGAAAGGTGAACACAGTTAGAAACATCCGGGGACCAGAATTCAGCATGGAGAGGCCCAGGGCCACCATGGCATCCCTTACCTTACTCTGTCAGCCAGGCAGAGATGGGAACAACTACTCTAGAGGAATTTTGTTGTTGTTTTTGTTATCGACTTATACATTATTAACAATGGGTACAATTTACAGCTGGGAAAGTTTCACCACCTTCTGATGTATAGCTGTAAATTTTGACAAACTTATAAAGCCCTGTCACTGTCACAATAAAAGTGTAGGATTTCTCCAGGAGTCCCCTTTGACACCTGTGTATTCAGGCTCTTCCTTCAGAACTTAGCTCCTAGCAACCAATTTTCTAACTTCTGAACCTATAGCTTTGTCCTTTCCAGAATATTATCTAAATAGAATCATGGCACATAGTCTTTATGGATGTCTTTGAATTAGCATGAACTTTTAGATTTGTCCATACTGGAACATGTATAAGCAATTTGTCCTTTGATATTGAGGAGTGGTGTTCTGTATATGAACATACCACAACAAGTCTTTGTTACTAATTGACAGTTGATGGACATCTGGGTAATTTTCAATTTTGGATATATATAATTATTATTATATATAATTGTATATATCAATATCATATATATTGTATATACATATAATATATACATATAATCTAAGTGGATCTGAGTTTTCATTTTTGTTGAGTACATGCCTAGGAGTGAGACTTCATACATGGTGTATGTAACTTTATTGCCAGACTGTCTGCCAGAATAGCAGTGTTATTTTCCATTCCAAACAGCAATTCTAAAAGGTGTCCTAGTCACTTCACACCCTTGTCAGCATTGTCAGTTGCCTTTTAAAGTCCTTGTAATAGAGGTATAATCCTAGCCACTGTCAACTCAATTTGCATTTTCCTAGTGACTAATGACACTGAAAATCTATACCATTTATATATCCTATTTAGCAGCTATTTAAATCTTTTGTCTTCTTTTTGTTTTCTAACTCAATTGTGAGGCTTCCTTGTGTATTCTGGTTCCTCTTGTAGTATGGGCTTTCTAACTATGTTCTCCAGGCCTGTGGCTTTTCTTTTCATTTCCCTGAAAATGTAGTTTTATCAATAAAAGTTCTTATTTTTTTTATAAAAACTAATTGATCTTTCTTTTCTATCTTTTAACTTTTGTGATTTGTGTGTGTGTGTGTGTGTGTGTGTGTGTGTGTGTGTGTGTGTGTATGTGTAAGTGTGTGTGTGTGTGAGAGAGAGAGAGAGAAAGAGAGAGAGAGAGAGAGAGAGAGAGAGAGAGAGGTCTCAAACATCTTTCCTCAACCTAAGGCCACAAGCATTTAGAACTTTTGACACTTTGATAATTGATTAAGGTCTATTATCTACTGTCCTAATTTTGGTGTATGGTGTGAATTGAGGTTCATTCTTTTACATATGAATATGAAATTGACTAGTTGAAGTTTTGGCCCTAAATGAATGAATATCAGGCCAGCAGGAGAAATGTTTTTGCCACATAAGCCTGAGGAAGGAGCTTTTAAGCCTACAATGGAAGGAGAAAACCCACTCACAAAACTTGTCCTCTGACCCCCGATGCAGGTGCTGTGGCATGCAAGTCCCCACCAATAATAATATAATATAATATAATATAATATAATATAATATAATATAATAAAAGAACGAATGTCCTGAGGTTTGCTTGTCTGGTACATAATCAACACTGTGTATCACTTTGTTCAGTCCTTACATAAAACCCTCACTTGTCCCTAACCTCCACAGCAAGAACTGGAAGACTGTTGTCTGGGGAGGAACTATCAGTTCATCTCTGGGACTTCCCATCATAAAACTTACAGAGTCCATTTAATATTTAAACTCACTGCTTTTGAAGCAGGGAGAGCACTGAGCTCCCTCCTTTGAAGATTGGTTTCTGGCAGATCGGACTGAGGACACTTGCTAAAGAGCCGAAAACTCTCCTCATGACCCCCACAAGCAAGAATTCCCAAGCTGGCCAGCTCTGTCACTCAAAATAGAGAGATGACTGTGTGCTGCCTCTGCACACAGAAATCCCTCTTTTGTTTCCAATTTAAGAACTTGTGAAGACCTTGAAAACTCTGCCTGTGTGGCCATCAGCAAACAGGCTTTCTTACTAAGCAAGCTTTCTGGGATTGACCTTGTGACCCTGGCTGGAAGGAAGGCTCATTCCTAAGGATTTAAATGGGTGCTCATGGGAGGGTCCAAGGCTCTTTCCAGGAAACACTATGTTGTATTTCCTCTAACCTGGGCTCTCACCACTGCTTACATAGGAGAGAAAAACTGCAGGAGAGAATGGCTTATTAAAAATTATTCAAGGCATACAGAGAAAAGGTCAATTTTGGGAGGTACCAATTTCCACCTTTTTCCACAGATGTGAACTGGGGCTCCTCCACTCAGGCTCTTTCCTATGTGAGCGCTTTAGACAATGCTCTGGAATTAACTACGGTGGAAGACCATGTGAAAAATTTCAGGTAAAGTTGGCTTTTGGGGTCCCCTGATGTTCCACATTCCAAGTGACTTTCCTTTAGAGGACCCAGCTACATCGGGGTCACTGCAACTAGCTTTGTGAGCACATTTCCAATATGAATAGCAAAGTTACCACTTCTGACAACAGCAGAAGGCCTGCTTTCTGGGATACAATTCATACTGTTACCAAGAACAGAAATGAACATATTTTTCTTTTTGTTTTGAGCTCTGCCCACCCAGAGGCACCACTCCTCCTACTGCTGTGCCATTTTCCATGCCTGGAGACAGAAAGACCTGAAGGCTGTGACTTCAGAGGGATATTCGCCAGATCCCCAGGCATCTTAATCATTGGTCTTATCTGCATTCAATCTCAGGCTCTATGATTTAATGAATTCCCTTAGGAGCAATAGTAATTTTAGATTTTCATTGGTTATATGTTATAATGATGCCTCACGACATAGGCTGGCAAGGAAGATAAATGAAAACACTGATGAGAGAAAGACAGGCTTGTGGAGGTTTGGGGTGATGTAGTACCCCCAAATAAAAGACAAGGGAAGCCCAAGACTACCCTTCCCCTATTTCATTCTTTTTTCTATGATTAATGAAATGAAACATATTAAGATGGCAAGATGTAGAGTCAAGATAACTCAAGAGTTCTGACAGAAAATCCAAGAAATGAGTAAGAAATGAGTATTCCATTTTTCCAAAATTTCTTGTTTTTCTTAACTTTCTTTTATTTCCTCTGAGGGGTTCTGGGCTCACATGCTTCTTGCACTGGCCAATTCTCATGTCTTCTTTATTTTCAGACCCCAGTGCATTGTCTTAACAGGAGGACCCATGGCAAGACCTGCTCTCTTGGATATAACCCATGCCTTCACGAAGAACAGTGGCCTGTGCATCTGTTGTGAAGTCTTCGTGGTAAGAGTTGCTTCATCCAAGGGAAGTGCTCACCCAAGGGAAGTGCTCACCCAAGGGAAGTGCTCACCCAAGGGAAGTGCTCACCTTGGGCTATTTTAAGTGCCAAGAAGATACCTACAGTAATAGGAAAGTGACAGAATAGCTTGAACAAGAAATAGTTCTTCTCCTTGATTCATAACTATCAGAAAAAGTAATCGGAATTTAAATGGATAGATGAAGTGTATTCCTGACTTCTTAGGAGGCCAACTAAAAGTGATAAATATTTTTAAGAGATGGCCTTTGAGTCAAGAAGAACTGAACTGGCTCAGAAATAAAATGAAGTATCTGGGTTGATAACTGTCTAAATAAAAAGGGTGGGAAGGATCATATACCAGAACATTCACTAGTCTACGGAAGCCGATGAGAAGGGACCAGGCATAATGGCCTTAAATGGCCACACATGAAATTTAGATGAAATGTTTGGATAATTGTGATGACACTACAGATACCTGAGGAATTAAGCTAAGCTTTCTGTGACTTTAACAGAGTTGAGAGTTTTCCCTATTGTTCAAGGACCATGTGGAGGACTAACAAGTGACTAGAGGTTTTCTTGGGAAGTTTTCAAAGTAGATGCTAAAAAGTCAACAGTAATTATTTACCAATTCTCCAAATGGAGACAAAGCATTGAAATTATAATAAAAAATATACATCTAAATCCTCCACACTAGCCTACCTCTGTGTGTATTCTCATTTCTCTCTTTCTCTCTCATCTCACTCTGTCTCTGTGCTCTCTCTGTGTCTCTCTCCTCTCTCTGTCTCTATGCTCTCTGTGTCTTTCCTCTCACTCTTTCTCTGTCCTCTCTCTGTGTCTCTCCTCTCTGTCTCTGTACTCTCTCTGCGTGTCTCTCCTCTCACTCTGTCTCTGTGTTCTCTTTGTGTCTCTCCTCTCACTCTGTCTCTGTGCTCTCTCTGTGCCTCAGTTAAATCTTTATCAATACATGTTTACACAACTAAATACTTACATAGTCTTCAAAGCATTTTCCCAGTTTCTTCCTTGAGCCACAAGCACACAAATGCAGAAAACAAAGAAACTCTTGCTTTTGTTTCACTGACTACGAAAATGAGACAGGAAAGTTAAATCATGTACTGGGCCATCCTGACAAGAAAACGGCAATTGGGATGTCAGTGGAGACCCCACTCCCCCCCACCTAGGGTGTCTCTTATTAGGCCAGGAAGAAGAAAGCCTAGACAGCCTGATCCCTGGGAGAACTGTCACAATCAAAGACCACTATTTACACTTCCAGTATCTGCCAAGAAATGGGTGTGAGGAAGTTGTGGCCGGTGGCAGTCAACTCTGCAATGATACAGTGGACAAATTTACTGTATTGCATCCTGAGAAACAGTCAAACATCTTTTTAAACTTAGCAATATCCTAAATGCTATGAAAGTTGGTCATATTCTCTTTCCTTTCTCTGCTTAGATGACAGTAACTCAAACAATATTACTAAATACAATTATCCAGTAGGGGGTGGAGGGAGTTACTGAATAGGGAAGATTGACAGGATAAGTTATGGCCAACTGTGACTCCAGAGAATTTGTTAAAAACTTATCAAGAGCCTTTCTCCCTTATTATCAACTTTAGTGCCCTGGATTAGTGGATTTCATTTTGGCCAATATAATATAGGAACTGGTTTTGATAGAATAAGCAGTTTGGGGTGTTTTTCTTCTCTAGCAATTTAGAGAAAATTTGGTTTAGCAAGCAATAAAATATCTCCAGGACTGGAGAAATGAACAAGAAATATAAACAGTCATATATTGGCAAGGGAGAAAAGGTCTTCCACAGAGACAAGAAACCCTGCTTTTAATTAACCCTTTGCTTCTTTAAACTACAAAATGGAGTACGATCCTAGAAGCCCCTTTCATGTGAAGTAAGTGTGTGACCTGGTAGTTTCACATGTATGTTGGATGGCACTCCATATTACTGTGCTGATGTTGCCATGAAACCCACATGAGTCCTACTCCACAGTGCTGAAATTCTCTTGGGAACAGAGAAGAGTTACTGAGTCAATTAAAGGCTTCCCGGTTAGTTACTGCCTGTGAACTCCCGAGGCTGTGGACGCTGTAAGAGTGTTTAGATTCAAGGCTCTATTGTCAATCATCTTTCCAAGGAAACAGATGGGAAGGGATGCAGGGGAAGCAGCATACCACTGGAAATGTTTTCCCCAAAGTATACTGATGATAGTTAAGCCAGTCTTCTGTAAATGTTAAGTAGTGATGATGGAAATGGAACTATAATTTTGTTTGCAACTCTAGGAAGCTAGTTCCCCTGGGTCTTTGAAACTAACAATCAAGTTTGGAATCACTATTTTGCTGCTTTGATTCCCTTACACATATAGTTTAGTCTCTCTGAATAAAAAATCACCTGTTTTGGGGTCATTGTGAGAATTATACGTGCTTTCCAGCACCATTTCATATCTGTCTGATAGTGAATATTGAATTAACTTTACTTGTTATTATTGGTAATGTTGTTGATGTTACTATTGAGGGAATATGATAGTTGCTATTTTCATTCCTGAAATATGTGGTCTTCAACAAAACTCAAGTCCAGACAGTGGATTTGGTTGTCTCCTATTCACCTAACTGATATTCAGCTATTGAAGCTCTCTCCCTCCCTCCCCTTGCCTTTTTTTTTTTTAATTCTGCCTCACAATTTCAGATGAGGGACACTAAACTCTTTACATCAGTGGGCATCTATCAAGATGTTAAAAAATAATGGCATGACCAAATACAGGAAGAATGAAATGACCTAAGAATGGGCACTAGGTAGGATATATGGTGAGATGGTTCATGGATCAAATCAGAAAAAGGGAGAAATTAGCCTTCTGGTAGTTCCAACCAGAAAAGCAATTAAAGCAAAGCCATGCGACAAACTGATACATAAAATATACACATTTTCCAAAGTTTCATTGTTCAAATTGGGGGATTAATTCATGTGCTCACTTTTGGGAATGCTGACTGAAGTTAATCTCAATAGTCTATTAATTGGATGATAAAAATCCATTTTTGTGATCATGACATATTGGAATATTGATTAATTGTGTTCCAGAATGTCTCCCCTCCTGTTAGTTGGCTTTAGCCTTCTTGCATTTGCATTGTAGTCTAGCTTCATATTAGCAAGTATGCTACAAAGACATTATAATCCCTTTTAGCAGAAAGATATTCTGTATGAAATATTTTTATGACTTTTTAGTATGGCAAGTTCAGTCATTAAAATAAATCTTTCTGTCACAATTCATGTATAATCCAGATTTTTGTAATACTAACAGGCATATGTTAGACTATATTTCCTTAAATAAACACTATTTTCCTCAGGGGCTTACAGTCATTGCAGGGTAGCTTAGAACTCTGGTGATCCAACATCTTTCTTAGCTGTTCATTAATCTTCTGTCTGATGGTTGTAGTCAACATTAAGCAACCCTCCATACAACATTCTTTCCTCCCATCCCTTGTAGTGGGTGAAACCTAGAATGCCTAAGGAAGGACTGACAACTTAAAATGCACTGGATCACTGAGTGCAACTTCCTTCATAGTAGCATATATCTGTCTTTAGTCCAGGTCTTCTGGTTAAATATCAGCTTCCTTTTCTATCTTCATTGAAGTTTCTTGTTTTTTTTTTTTTTTGACTAATACAAGACAATCAAATTGTTTTGAAATATTGGTAACCTCTCGAACATATGCTGGCAAACAACTAACTATAAAAAGAACTTGATCCAATTTAAACAAAATACTAAAATGGAAGAGACCCCAAAGATCAACCAGTGCTGTATGATAGAAATATAATACGTGTTGTTTGTATAATTTAAAATCTTCTAGGTGCCAATTAAAAGATAAAAAGATAGATCAAGTTATTTTTTAATAATTTCTTTTGTTAAACTCAAATATGTCCAAAATGTTATTTCAATGTGCCATCAGCATAAATGCTAATGAGATTTATTTTAGATATATTTGTGTTCTAAGACTTCTAGGATATCTCATCTAAAATACATTTCAAATGCTTAATGGCAACATGTGGATAAGAGCTGTTATATTGGGCAGTGATGACCCAGAGATTGCCTTATTTGTATAAATATATTTGCTCTCAAAATAGTACACGGTAGTATCAATGGATCAGCCCAGAGCCACATTTAAACCCAGCACCTGACTCCCAGCTGAGTGACATCCCAGCTGTGGCAGAGCAAACACAATGCAGAGTTAGGCCTGGGGTTTCATTGAAATTATGAACACCCATTTACAATAATAGAAGTTAGGCATAGGTAGGCACCTAGTACTTTTCAAGCTTAGTATTAGATAACTCACTTACTGTAACTACTTAGGCAATCATGGAAAAAATCATGTTTATCCTCATGTCCAGAATAATATTTCAAAGCTCAGAGATAACCCATGATCTCTAGAATAGTCAAGCATAGGGCTAGACAAGTTCTATCTGACACTAAAGCTTGACCTTATCTTCCCATATCCCAGAGCCCTTTGTTTCCTACCAAAGACCCCCGAGACTATCATTCTAAGTGTAGTCTGCGGAAACAGTAGCATCTGAATCATCTGGGTGCTTATTAGAAATGCAGATGCTTACACCATACTCTGTATCCTCTAGGGGCAGTCCATTACATGTTATCAGGATCTCAAGGGACTTGAAAACTAAGGCATTCAAACAGAATGCAAATCCTTCTATTATAGACTGGAGAAAGTAGGTGGTTCATCTGTCCTGTCAAACACATAGGTGAAAATCAAAAACACCTCTTGGACTGCATTAGAACATGAGAAGAAGCGAACCAACTTGGACCTTTATGGGAGAAGAACTGTTAGTTAAACAGTGTTTTCCAGAATGAAACCTTGAGATTACAAGGTGCTTTACCACCGCCATGGCTGCCTTCCCTTCTCTTAGCTTGTCTCACTCCCGTTGTATCATAGACATGTGACCTTTTATTCCCACCAAATTTAATGACTTGCCAGATTATAAATATATCAATACAAGGAAAGAGTGATGTGAAGGAATTCTTACCACATCAAGAAGCAGTGCTTAGAGTCTGACAGAATTGTCAGGATGTGTAGCTTGTGGAGAATTTGCAGTTCATCATGTGCTGGCTCCCAAGAGCTCTGTCTGTTTCTGGGAATTGGGCTCTAACTTGAGCCTTCTTTGAGGTTCATAAACATGGCTCTCACTGTTGAATCACAGGTTGATTGTGAATTCATCGGGAGCCTCTTCAATCACATGCTGAGTGTTTTCCCCGTGTGCCATCCTACCCTCGGCTTTCCTTTCCATTCTGTGCAAGGCAGTTGTTTATGTAGGTATTAGTAAGCCTGGGTTTGGGGTTGAAAATGAGTCATGTGAGCCACATAGGTCCTCTCCAAAAACAGGGTTCTAGGCAAACCTCACTTAAGGAGGTACTTTTCCCTCAATCCCATCTCTTCATTTAATGGGGCGTTCATGGCTGGTTTTGTCACTTGGAAAACAACGGTAGCGTGATGTATAATAGCTGGGCTTCTAGTTAATATTTCATTGCATCATACAGGGGCCTCGAAAGCTGTGTGTTAAGGAGATGAACAGCGGCATGGCTAAAAAGCAGGCCTGGCTTATAAAGAACAAGATCAAGGCGTTTTATGCTGCAGTAGCAGCAGACTGCTTCAGAGATGGCGTCCGGAGTCTCCTTCAGGTAAGGCAGGTACTGAGGGAGTGAGCACAGGGGCAGAAGGCAGCATCCTGGTGGATGAAACTTCTCAAACCAATGGCTAGAGTTAGGTCACTCACCAAGGAAGCATCTGAGATCAAGACAGATGGTCAGGAAATAGGTTTCAAATTCCTTGGGTTAGGCAGGGCATGAACAAAAGCTGAGGTTCTGTTAACATTGAACTAGGAATGATCCACTGGAAACAGAAAATGAGTTTGCCTTTGGCTACCAGCACCATTCTGTCCCCACACTCATTGAAATGCAAATTTGTTCTGGTGGTTGAGGACATTGAGGATCCTATTAAAACTTCAAACTCTTTGCGTCGTGTGCAGCAGGTAGCAGTGGTCCAGTCAGGCACGGTTTCTCTTTTTTTCTTTTGCAAATGACGGGTGGGCAGCTGCTAGACTCCACTAATAAATGCATGTGGATCGGGGCGGAAAATCTCCACAGCCTTGGGAATTATTTCCAGAACATTAAATAAATGTGATCATCTCTATAGCTACATGCTGGAGTCTGCAGTTTCCTATGCCCCTCTCTCTTTCTTTCCTTTGCCCTTCCCTCTTCTATTTCTATAGTGATGACAGCAACTTGTCGCCAGTTCTCATCTCTGTGATTTAAGAAAGAAAAAAAAAAAAAAAAAAAAAAAAAAAAAAAAAAAAAACTTTAAAGCAATCCAAGAGACTCTCTGAATATAGCATTTGTGTATTTGAAAATGTTAACCCAGTGGCCACAAAAATATTAGATGACATACAGAGAGAGGCAATAAAAAATTATTTAGCCCTGAATTTGCAACATCCCAACCTTTCCACATCATTGAATCAGTTGATCAGCCTTTGCAGTCATAGCCTCTTTCCAGGAATTCTACAATGATAATCTGTCTGGCAAGATACCCCATTTGTGTAACAGTGGCATGATAGTTATGGAGATAACTAACCACTTTTCTATTGGATTTGAGGCTACTCCTCAGAAAGGAACTCATGCCTTTTAATATAAACCAGGTCAAGAGTCTTTGAGTACAGAGGTCATAGGTCTCAGAGAAGAGACTGCTCTTCTTGTTTTACTAAATAGACAGAATGTTTATAGAATAGTGCTGGTCCCAGCCTTCATCAGAGAAGCTTCTTTTACAATAGGTTCTACTCAATGTTGAGATTCAGAACTAGTCAAAGTATAAAGACTGTGATTGTGGAGTACTGGGCCCTAAACAGGTTATCAATACCATCCCCTCTAAGTCTGGGGAGCATCACAGAGGAAGGGGATAAAGAAATAAGAATCGAGAGCTGGGGCTGCTACAAAACTATGACTTGTGGACATGCAATGGACATCACATCCATGAACTCACTGCAACTGTGGTTACCTGCATAAGACCTATACAAAATTGGACCTGTAACTATTTCATCATGCAGGGAAGAGGGGACTCATGAGACCTCACCCCTTACAAAAGGACTACAGGCTATTTATGAGTACTGGGGGGAAGAAAGTCTTTTCCTTCAGTAGTATATCCACCAATAAGTTGATGGTGTACTATTAATGGCCTCACACCTATTCATGTCCATGCAACTGACTACAGTTAAACACAATGGGCTAAGAAAGTGGCTGTCAAAACAGTCAGTGGTTTGTTAGGGGAAAGGGCTTCAATAAGAGGCAAGGGATAGAGGGAAGGGGAGAGAGCTTGAAAGAGCCCAGGATTCAGCATACACATGAATAAATTTGTCAAAGTTTTTTTTTAAATTGTAACGAGTCATGAAAAAAAACAAAGTAAAGAAACATGCAAATAAATGTAAAACAAAAGTTGAACATGCAGATTCACATGAAGCATATACCAAGTATGTAAAGGCCAAGTTCATGTTAGCCATCCCTGATTGTGCCTATGTCCTTGTACTCATGAATGTGTCCTCTAGAATGGCTGGTCATTTCCTTAGTATCTTCATGATCCACGTGACCTTCCTTCACTAGCAGCTCTCCTTACCTTTAGTTGTCAATGGTCAATTAAACTTGGAGATCCAGTATAAATGTCACTTCTCCATGAAGCTATGAGCCATGAGCTGGAGCACAAGTCTCCCTGTGTGTCCTCTGTTGCATTTATTACTGTGTTACAATTGCGTATGCATATCTTGTCTCCTCCTCATTATTCCAAGATCCTATCACAAGTGCTTCAGACATCACTTTGCAATTAATACGGGCTTGATAATATTGCCACATTAAATCTGATTAACTGGAAGCCACATCTTGTCATCTAAAAATGACTGAAACTTTTGATATGAAATATAAAATCTCAGGACACTATCATGTAAAAGCATTGTTAGAAGCACAGCTCAGCCATTCTTCAGCAAATAATATAAAGAAGTTTTCAATGGTCTCCAAAACGTGGATTTCATTGTTGATGACATTTTGGACATCACAGGTGGAAATGAGTTCTGAACCTCTAAGTTATAACATGCACATCGACAGTTAAGTCAACCCTTACTTGATTTTAAATTATTGAACCATTTTAATGAGTGTGTCAGAAGTAATGCAAATGACTGCTAATTTAGCAAAGCTACATTCCTGTCATCTAAAATCCATTTATGGCTGAGATGATTTAGAACTGATCTTCCTATTTTATGCTTGGGTACGGGCATGAAGGACATACATTAAGATGTAATCTAATCTTCAGAACATTACTTCAGTGCTCTTTGACATCATTTTTCATCTGCAGTAGTATTTTACTGGCATGGGAAGGATTGCTCATGTGTTTATGTCCTCTGTTTAGGCCTCAGGCTTGGGGAGAATGAAGCCAAACACTCTAGTGATTGGATATAAAAGAAACTGGAGGAAAGCTCCCTTGTCAGAGATTGAGAACTACGTGGGGATCATACAGTAAGTGATGACTTCCTTGTTTATAATGCACTAATTAGGGCAGCATACAACCTGTACACACAAAGCTTTCTTACATCAGATTCAATTGCTGGAGAAGAACACACTCTCCTGCAACTGTAAGTTCTATTCCAAAGTGGAAAAATAAAACCCACACCACCAATAAGTAGAATGAGTTGGAATATCAGAGGGGATAGAGTAGAGTGATATTGAAGTCAAGAAAAGGCAAGTGTTTAAGGTCGCCAAGGTATATAATATAAGGTACAACCTAAAATTCTATCTACTAGATTGAAGGCAAAGGACAGGTAGAGGGGGAAGAAATTTTCCTTGAAAACATTTGGAATCATGGGTTGGCTGTTATGCCCACAAACAGGATAGAGAAAGAAATGCAAACAGAGATAAGATATAGTCTTATATGTCTGTCTTATATTACATATAAGATATAAGAACTGTGTGCAGCCTCACAGTCTAGTATTTGAAGAAGCATTCCTGTGATCAGCTTCCCCACCATCCCAAACACTCAATTCCAAGGATCAAAATGATTGAGCCTAATTACATCAAACTGAGGAAGACTCCGGCTTTTACAACACATTAACAATTGGTCTTCTTGGCAGGATTATCTAAGGTGATCCAAGCTTGCACGAGTATAAAATTGAATAAATCTACCACCAAAGAGAAAGCAGGAGGAAGTAGCCACACACTGTTAACACTGGGCTAAGGCTACAATCATATGGTGTCTTACTATACTCCTTTGAGTAAAAGGTTTTAAATGTCTGCTTTTACTTAGAATCTGTCTTAGTTTTTGATGGCTTTTAAAACAATGAAGTTTTTCCACCTTACAGTTGGATGAGTTAGACATTTAACACATCTCTTACTATGCCCAAATCAAAGTGAACCAGGATGTATCCACAGAATACTCTAGTGTAAAGTCCTATCTTGCCTTTTCAGTTCCTAGAAGCTGCACATGAGTGGATGTAGCTGGTGTCCCTCTTTCTCCATTCCCAATCTAGCAACAGCCACATTACACAGATCTCTTCTGTCTCTCAAGTTCATTTTTAAGCACTCTTGTCCCTATATCTGGCCCAGGAAGATGTTGCAGAATACTCTCCCCACCCTCAAAGCTCTTGATTTTATTATATATGAAAAGTCCCCTTTGTCTAGTGATGAAATGTATTCATAGGTTTCAGGAATTAGGATGTCCTTTAAAGCCACCAATCTGCTTATAAAAGAATCAACATCTTCTTGTGAAACTAATTGTCTAGTTTTTCATAATCATAATAGAAATAAGATTTGCTTATGTAGAGTTCTGTGTTAGAAAACAACTATTTTGTTAAAATGAAGGTAATTTACTGTCCCAACCTGCGGGATGTCAACCTGGGGCAAGAGAGTCAGGGATGGGGAATGGGGACAAGAGACATAGAAAGAATGACCACAAGACAAGATTCTAATCAAGTGGCAAACTTTATTTTTCTCAGGCTAGCTTATATAGTCAGCAGAGCAGGATATGGGGAGGGGTAGAATGGATTGTTTGTGCACAAGGTGTTAGTGTAGACGGGATATTAGGAAACCACAAAGAGAGGATGTTTGGCAGGGTAAAGAGTTCATGAGTAAGAAAGAGGTCCAGGAAGGGTCACCTAGGTGACTAAGCCTGCAAGTGGAACATAGGATGGGGGACTGGGTCATGTTGCTTTTTTCTTGAGCTGAGGTTCTAAGGAGCTGCTATGTAAAGATTAATATATAACTATGTGGCTGGCCAAGCATGGCCTAGAATCTTATGCCAAGCCCTGAGATCTTTGGCTTGAACAATTTACATTTTGAATTTTGAGTGGAACCTCTTCATATCATTCCCTGAAAGTTCAGATTGACTTCTTACTGGATGCTTGTTGTTTATGGTGGCCATCATAGACTATATCAACAATACCGAAGAGGGTGGCCTGACCATAAGCAATTCTGGGTCTCAGTTTTGCAGATGAGCCAACAAGGGAACCTCCAGAGGGAAATGTTTAGTTAACACAAATAAGCAATAGATTTGCTTTCAGATTTATGACCTGTACTACAGGAGCTAAGATAAACCAAGTAGCTTTTCCTTCTTGTCTACACTCTTTGATCTCCTTAAGCTGGGGCATAGAAGACGTTAGAGCCAGGGATTTCCAGGGGAGGTGCTGCTTTGAAGGGCCTGTGCAGAGTCTATAACAAAAGTTCCTCAGAGAAACTGGAAACCTTTGTGTTTGTTTGTTGACAGAATCTCAACTATGCAGGATTGGCTGTCCTTGAAGTTACTCTGTAGAGCAGATTGACCTGAAACTCAGAGACCCATCTACCTTCCAACTGCTATACTAGAGATGTTTCAAGCCATGAACTTGGTGTCCAATGTCACTAGAGATGTCTTCCCAGTGGCAGGCAGGGAAGGCAGATAATTTCAAAAGATTTTGCAATCTATAAATGTTCCATTCTAAATATATCATATTGTTTTGATCACCTAATAACAGATTAATTATTTTAAAGTATGTAGAAAGCTCCTAATCAAAACTTATAGCTGGTGGAACTATTAGAACAAATCAGCTTCATGGTAAATTATCTCTTTACCTCTATCCAGAACTTATTTTCTAAAGGCACAAAGGAAAGAAAACCCAAAGAAGATATCTGCTCTTAGCTATATTCTAAAGCGAATTTTAACAACTTCACAATATCAGAACCCTAGGAACAAGTTTAATATTTACCCTGTGTGAAGGTTGAAGAAAACACTGGAAACACTTAACATGTTGCTTCCCCTTTCAGTGATGCCTTTGACTTTGAGATTGGTGTGGTTATCGTCAGAATCAGCCAAGGGTTTGACATCTCTCCAGTTCTCCAGGTACAAGGTAAGTATTTTTCTTATCCACTCAACAGATGGTGAATTGTTCTAGATGGTGGGGTCAGAACAGTGCTCAGTGTGGACAAAATGATTCTCCCTCAGCCCATGGTGTGTGCACTCCAAGTGTGTTTTCCCATGGCTAACACAAGTAGCCTTTGTCCTGGTAATCAAAGATGTAGATTAAACTCAGAGTAGTCAATGATTTTTCTTATTGTAATACTACAAAGCCAGTATGTGGTAAATATACACCTTGAGTACAGTAGCCTGCCAAATTAATTTCTATAAGATGTTAAAGAAAATGTAGATTTTTTTTTTCCTCCATGGAGAAGCACACATTTTGCTGTCAGGTAACCACGAACTGGTTTGTAGACAACATGGAAATGAACTTGAATGGGTCATGTCTGTGAATCACTGAGTAATACACAGGCAGAAACACTCGTTCTGGTTAATACCTGTTTCTTCACTATAGAGAATTTGGTAGATATGAAGTAAGGAGAGCATACGAGAAGAGTTTCTGAAAGATTAGGAGAGAATAGGAGTCCTTCTCTTCAACTGAGATTCTCTACTCGATCCTCTAATGACACTAAGACAAGGGGATATTTTGGGATGCCTATTGTATAGCATGGAGAGTGCAGGTGATGATATTGGTATCAATGGTAATATGATATTAATAAGCTTGGTTTCTACACTTAAGAAACTGGCACTGTAGTAGGGAAATGGATATTAATGTGATCATTATGTGTGAATGAGAAATTATGATAAAGAAGGGGCATCTGATCCCAAATTTCCTGGAAGAGATATGATTTGAAGTTGTGGTGGTTTGTAAGAAAGTGGCTTCCAAAGGGAGTGAAGCTATTAGAAGGTGTGGTCTTGTTGGAGGAAGTGTGTGGGGGTTGGGCTTTAAGGTCTCTTTTGCTCAAGCTTCCCTCAGTGTGACTGTCAATGGACTTCCTGTTGCCTGCAAGATGTAGAACTCTCAGACATTTCTCCAGTACCACATCTGCCTGTCAGCCACCATGCTCACCATAATGATGATAATGGACTGAACCTCTGAAACTGTAAATGAGTTAATGTTAAATGTTTTTATTTGTTAGAGTTACTGTGGTCATGGTTTCGCTTCACAGCAATGAAAACCCTAACTAAGACAGAGGTTTAGTGGATGAGTAAGAGTTAAATAAACAATGTCGAGGGACAAAAGAATAATGAGACTTGAGAACAAACATCTCTTGCCCAGAGGCGAGCATGAATAAAGGTTAAGATGAGGAACAGGAATGGGTGGTATATGCACAGCCAGAGCAGATCAGTACCACCGAAGGGGAAAGTATGAGGCAGGCAATAATGAGGGCTTCCCAAGCTTCTTCTGACATACTCAAAGGGTGGACTGTAGTCTGTCACCAACGAGAATCCTCAGAAGGATGTAAGTGAGGGTATAATGTCAAAGTTGGCTTTCAAAGTTCATACTATTTCAGTCATTTGGGGCATGACTCACAGAAGACTAGAACGGGGGAAAGAGATGTCACTTTTTCTCTCATACGTGAAATCTAGGCTTAAGTGTATATACATGCATATATGTGACATGAAAGTAGAATGGGTTACATTTGGAGGGAGAAAGGGGACCAGTGAAAGGGGGCAGGACAGAGAGAAGAAGGTAGTCAGTGACAGCGGGGGTGGGGGGAGAAGCAAATATGAGAAAGACACAATAATACATATGTATGAAAATGTCAAAAGAAACCTACTATTTTGTAGGTTAAGAAATTAATTTTTAGAATTACAAGGGTAGAGCGATATGTACAAACATGCTAGGAGTGAGTATTGATGAGTCTACTTTGCTTTAAAATATTTCACCAAGGAAAAAGACTGTAAAATGTGTACTTGAAAAAAGATTTCTAAAATAATAGAAGCAAGGAGAGTTAACAGCTCACACTTGGAAATCTTCTTCAGGGATGAAGAGAATAAAGCAGAATGGATAAGTATTTTGGAGGCATAAAGAGCAGTGATAGAAGTTGATTGAATATGTAAGAGACAGGACAGGGAACTGTGAAGAAAAAAAATGCCTTGGTTGACTGAGTGCTTGGGCTAGCAAAGAAGATGGGAAATGCAAGAAAAGGAGAGATGTGTGTCTAACTCAAAGATAGTGGGAAATCCTGCTGGGAGTCAAGATTCTTAATCTAACTACATCTGAGATCCAGATTTAGATGTTGTTGACTAAACTGTGCCTCATAGACCACCAAATTCATATGCCAAAGTCCTAACCTTAGTACCTCAGATTGGAACTGTCTGAAAAGATCATCTTTAATGATGTAAATAAGGAAGAATAGGACCACACTGATAGGCCACAATTTAACTTATCTAGAGCTCTTACAAAAAGAGATTAAGATGCAGAGGTGGGCATTACCATGTGGGAAGCACCACCCTCAAACCAGGCCAAGTCAACTTGGGATAATTATTTCAGTCAACACTTTGATATTGGAATTCTCACCCCCAGAACTGTGGAAAACAAATTTCCATTGCTCAAATCTCTTTAATGCATGGTGGTTTTGTGGTTATCCCCAGCAAGTGAAGATGGAAAATCATTGTTGGTAAGGTGGAAATGGAAACTACAACAATGCAAATACAGCCCAAGAAAGAAACTAAGAAGGAGCCAAAAGGGACCAGGTGACTGGTGTCAGGGGAGCCATAATAATAATCAACATTGTCATGGACAGCAGACAAGCCCAGTTAGAGTGAATGAAATATAATTGACATGACAGAGGTAATTGTGGTGAAAGAGATTTCTCTAGAATTACAGTGTTAAAATCCTTGTTTCAGGTCTTGTTTAGGCAGCCATATTGTTGAGGTGTAATGGGAGGTGTCATTTCTAGGAGACACACTTCCACAGCAGATTTCCTGTTCCTCTGGCTCTTACAATCATTGTGCCCCCTCTTCCAAAATGTTCCCTGAGGCTTAGATTGCAGAAGTTGGGTTGTAGATGTATCATTGGGGCTGGACTGGACACCCCATGATTGGTTGTTCCCTGCATTTTGATCAGTTGTGGATTTCTGTAATTCTTCCTATCTATTATAAAGAGAAGTTTCTTCAATGAGGGATGAAGACCACACTTAAGGGTATAAGTGTAAGCCCTTAGAATGCAGCTAAGAATTATGTTGGCTTAGTAAAGTGCAGTAGTAGTTTCTCCTCTAAAATTCATGACTTAATTAGTCCTGGGTAGGTGGCTAGGTTTCCAGTACCGGGTATGATTTCCCTCTCCTTGAGAGCGTCTTAAGTCCAATTAGACGGCTATTGGTTACTACCAAGATGTGAGTACCATTATTGCATCTTTAGGGATCTCTTACCATTCATTGTTGAATTTCATGGGCATCACAACTGGGTGGGACTATTGACTTCTCCCCTACCACGGAAGCTTGCATAGTACCTTTTAGTACTGTAAAACGTAGTCATCAGGGCAAAGGCTTCTTGGTCAGATCCAAATCAATGTCTCTAAATCCTGTGTCCAATATATTTTAATTTTTTCTGCCTTTGGTGCTGTTGAGTTTTCTATCTAAAAATAAGAATAAAAAATATAATTTGTATTTAGATTATGCATTTTCTTTGTGTATTATGTTAGTCTCTTCAAGCTGATATATGCAATGTAGCTGAAAAATATCACCTCTGCCTCTTATTGCTCCAGGCACCAAAATGTACCATCAGTTTCTTTCTGTGATGCAATAGAACCACTAGATTCTTTAATGTTTCTTAAAGAAGCCTGGCACTATAGTTCTTTTAGACTTCCCAGAAAACAAGTACTATTTAGATCAACTTTGTGTTTGAAATATTTCTGCTTCCTAGACAGAAAGGCAAAATACAGTTGGATGCTAATAAAATAATTATAAGTACCGACTATCTAGGTAAACAGAAATGCAATGTCACACGAATACACAGAGAACATGTAAAAAAAAAACCATAATGATAGGAATTAGTTTGATGCCACAGCTCCATGCTTTGTTATGAAGCTCTGGCAATTTATGGCACAAGCCTTATATTAGATTTTGGATTAGAAGAAACAAACTTGCAGTTCATTATATTATATTGTAATATAGGGCTTAATAAGAGCCTGATAAATCTTCAGTATTGCATTACAGTATGTTAATGATCATCATCATAGCTTTCCCAACATGGGCACCGCAGTGTCATCACAGATTATAATTTAAGGGAAACATTAGCAACTCTGAGCCCATATACTACAGTTAATAAAGCAATGAGTAGAAATCAGCTTTCTAGGTAATTTACCAGCTAATGACAATCGTTTCTGTACTGTGTCACAGGCTCATATGAGAATAACTTTTTGTTTAAATAAGATCGATGCTCATAGCGTTATACCTCCTACACCACAGCAAGTCACCCGATACTGATGACTAATACTTCTTCTTAATAAATTAATTTATTGTCTGACAACACAAAAAAAATGTGGCATTTCATATTTTTCACATCCCAGAGGTATTTAGCAAGTTTTCCAATTAAAACAAAGAATCCAGATTGCATTGGTAGTAAACAAAGTGATAGAGTGTGATTTGCAATTGAGTACCCTGGGTAAGTACTGCACGATTTATGACCAGCTCAGAGCATGGTGATACTGCTGTGTTTGATCGAGTGGCTTAGCAAAATAAAGACAGATGGCCTAGCAGTAAATAATTGCTTGATTGGAAGGCAAGGCTGTAGGACTGCTTCCTGCCTTCAATCCAGCCTGACTTCACCTGGGGATCAGCAACTGATTCATATAAGTATTTGTGGCTTCAAGTTGATTGACCAAGGAAAGAGTTATAATTTAATAATGAATAAAGAAAAAAGAGGCGGTAAAATGGGAGGGGAATATGACTGCCCTGTGGCTTCCTCTGCTCCTCCTGCTGCTGTCCTTAAGGTTCAAAGCAGATGGTGAATTATAAGCCCCCAAATGACATCTTTTTTTTTTAATGACACATTAGAACACAAGACCATTCTGACAAACTAAATGAATTTCAAAATACAGTGTCTCCAGTTGGTTACTATGTGGTCTATGAAGCACTTCGAACACAGTAACCACTATTCAAAGCAGTTTGGGTATCTGGTCTCACTAGAATTCTTTCAGGGTATGTAGGAAGAAAGTTATTCAAATCCTGCTTTCAACTGACAACCTGAAGGTCATATAATTCTACCGTTATAGCCTTGGGATTCTCTCAAAATCTATAAAACCAAAGGGCGGACAGATACCATGATCAGGTCACTGAAGAACAGCAAAGAGCAGCAGTTCTCAACTTACGGGTCTCTACCCCAAATGACCCTTCCACAGGAGTCATCTAAGACCATCAGAAAACACAGATATTTTCATTATGATTCCTAACAGTAGCAAAATTACAGTTATGAAGTAGCAACAAAAATGATATTTATGGTTTGGAGTCAACACAACATAAGACACTGTGTTAAAGAGTTGGTCACAGCCTTAGGAAGATTGAGAACCACTGGTAAAAAGGGATGAGCAATAGGGTGTGGTGGCACATTCCTGTAATTTCAGCACTGATGATGCTGAAACAAGATCAGGAGTTGAAAGCCACCCTAGGCTCCACAGTGATCATGAGGCTAGCCAAGGCTACATAAGACTCAAAGACAGTGGTGACATGCATTAATATTAGAACTGGAAACAGAAGACATGTTACTATGGTACCTTGAACACATCACCTGCACTGTTTATGTCCAAGTTTCCTTTATAAGAAAGTGAGGACTAAAACAGTTCTCTCTGCACACCAGCATCCGAAGCAAAGCTCCCACATGTGGAGACTGTGACTCCTGAATATTCAAAGTGTTGTTGTAGCTGAGCCTAGGAGCACAGACCTGTAATCCTAGCACTTGGGATGAAGAGGTAGAGATTCAAGACAGCCTCAGCTACATGAAGACTTCTAGGCTACAGAAGAAGACCCTATTTCCAAAAACAAAACAAAGGACAGAATGGTGGTCATGGCTATGGCATAGATTGAGTAATCTTTTTTTTTTTTTTTTTTTTTTTTGGGTTTTCCGAGACAGGGTTTCTCTGTGTAGCTTTGTAGCCTATCCTGGCAATCTCTCTGGAGACCAGGCTGGCCTCGAACTCTCTGCCTGCCTCTGCCTCCCGAGTGCTGGGATTAAAGGCGTGCACCACCAAGGCCCGGCTAGAATGAGTAACCTTTAATGTCAACCTCATGGCTCCCCTGAACCACCTCCTTGTGACTAATGGTTACTTTTGCAATTTAGCTGGCTGGTATCCCTCTTAAACATCTTGGCAAAGTTGATTCTTTGTTTCCAGTGCAGACAGAGTTATGCAGTCTACCAGATATAATTCAAACCCAAGATCATCCAAGGGGCACTTCTGTTTCAGACTGCAATGTGAGGAGCTGCACAGAGGGGGTCTTCCATCTATCTCCCACAGAGTAAACAATGAAGCATCATCTTTAATGAAGGCGTGCAAGCCTACTGTGTGTGTAGTAAACATGGCACCACTGTGGCCCTGAAACCCAAGATGACTAAGCAAGCTGATTTTAGCCTCCAGAATAGATTTCACCAGCCTGTCTGCTCTACAAGGGAACTAAAGAATTTGAAACTTAGGAGCAGGACTTTGGTCTGTCTCCTGAGCCTGAGGTTCTGCAGTTTGCTTGTCCTGGATGGGCTACAGACTCATTTTGGAACAAATGGCTAGAGTCACTTGGGGTGTGCTCAGCTAGCTGGCTCATTGACAAAAGAGGATTTAAACTATCTTTATCCAGGCAGAGCACAGTTAGTAGCTAAACACAGAGTGTGCTGGAGCCTGTCAGAGAGAGAAAGAAAGGGAGCTGCCCCCTCCTCTGTGCAGTCCTTAGTTGCCTCCAAGTAGTTCACAGCTAAGCTCCTGGAAGAGGCCTGTAAGAGAACGTCCCAGCTGCAACTCTGAGGCAGCCTCCCATATAACCCAGATCATTAGAGCCCTCCCTAAAATGACATGTTCCAGAACCATCATTGGGGGTGTAGCTTGGCTTGGCACCCTGTGCCTGCAAATGTTTTAGTTCCTCTGATGAAGAAGCTGGCAGTTAATAGAAACAACTGTAAAGTAAAAATAACAAGCTGCTAGAAGGTCTTCATGTTGGGAAGCACACAGACTGACAGCCAAACTGACCTCTTTGTATTTAAGCTCTGATCTTGCTCGATCATAGTCATGCAAGTTCTTTAAATTTGTGAGCTATGGTTTCTTCATCTACAAAATGAAGAAAACCATAGTAACTATCTCTGAGACGTTTGGAAAGGAATAAAACGCATCACCCAGAGAGTGTGCAATAAACAGGGTTAAAACAACTACCGGCCTTCTCAAGGTCATTTGTTTTGCCTGATAAGACCCATGTCCAGAAGGAGTATAAATACCCTGCCTAATGAGACCATTGCTGCACTGGTCTTCCTGGAGCTCCAAGTCACACTGCTGTTTATTCTTCTTATGAAGCTCAGAGGGTGGGAAAGTATTCTGATTTTCCATTCCACAGGAGGTCTGAGAAATGGAGTAAATGACTGAATTCACAGCCAGCCAGCTGCTGAGCTCCTACGGGTTGTGGCCCCCACTGCAATATAGATTGCCCTCACATTTTTAATGTCAGTGCAAGCACGACCCGCCTGATCTCTAAGACCATCAGCCTCATTCCCAGCCCATCTATGGCTGCTCATCATGAGAACCTTTGAAGCTTTGGGGAGATCACATGGGAGATTTGACTCTAAATCTCATGCCACTGGCAAAAGATTAATTGGTAAGACCTGGAAAGGGGCCCAGTGATTCTGTGTAGCTGGACAGATTTAGTTAAGGCGGAATCGTCCCTTCACAGAGAGATAAGGCAATGGGTTGTGAGGATTGACATTTACAGAAGCCCTGGCAGGGTTTTGTAACACCGAATCTGGGTTTTCTGCCCTCTCCCTTGGAGCAGGACTTATTTCCCAAGGCTGACTTCTCAGCAGGCAATGAAATAGGAGATCCCAGGGAAGTTCAAGAACATGCTTGTTAGCTCATCACTGTCATGTGATTGTTTATAATCTCTTACTTGCTAAGGTCAAAGAGATTATATATTATATTATGCTATATAGAGAGATGGGGAGGGAGGGGAGAGATGGAGAGATTGGCTAGGAACTTTCCAACACAATCAAAACTCAGAAAAGCTAAAAGGCAGCCAGATACAACATCAAAGCCTGGACAGTGGTCCTGAACCTTCTGGAGGAAATTCAGCACAGTTTGACTCTTGGTTTAGACTCAAGTGTTTCGAGTGACTTTTCAGCCATCTGGACTCTGGCATTCTCCCAGAAACCTTGGCTTTGGCTCTTTGCCTTCGGTCACTTATTCCATAATGCCATTTCTTTGTCGTTGTTGTTCACTTAAGAGACACAGTCAATCAGTGCTGGATACTTTATTCAGTTTGCATTCAAAGATCAGAGAAGTTGATTTCTGTAATTCACCCAGTCCCCTTTGGCCTGTTGAGACAGAGTTTTATTATAGCCTGAGCATGTGTAGCCAAGGATGACCTTGAATTCCTGGCCTTTCTGCTTCCACCTCCCAAGTGCTGGGATCACATGTGTACACTAGCATTCTCAGGTATCTGTCTATAATTCTTGCTGTTAGTTTTCTGTTTCAATCCAGAGGTCTTGCTGTGTGGGATGGATGCCCAGAATACTTCTTCGATATTATTACTTTGGCTTGTTGAAACTCTTACCTGGTAAATTGATCATTAAGTCAGTGATTCAGTAGGGACATCATCTCACTAGGTCAGATTTTCCCAACAGTGGTATAAAGGTGTAAATAAGTAGGAGTCTTCAGGTGGGCATGGCGGCACTCACCTTTAATCCCAGCACTCGAGAGGCAGAAGCAGGAGAATCTCTGTGAATTCAAGACCACCTGGTCTACAAATAGAGATTCAGGACATCCAGAGCTGTTACACAAAGAAACCCTGTCTCAAAAAAAAAAAATCAGTCCTTCTTGCCCTCATAAATCAAATCCCCATGGCATCATACATGGAGCTGTCTTTTTCTGAGCAGCTGTTAATACTTTCTGAATACAATTTGCTGAAAACAAATTACTTTTTAAGGATCAGAGAAAGACAGCCATACCATTGCACAGCCATCTCATTGCATAATTGTATGACATGCTAGATACATTTCTAAGACTCTCCTGGAAACTTTGTTCCTCTGAGTGGAGTTGCTGACTGTGTCTACTCTCTTCAGATGAGCTGGAGAAACTGGAACAAGAGAGATTGGCTCTGGAGGCCACAATTAAAGACAACGAGTGTGAGGAGGGAAAGGGAGGCATCCGAGGCTTGTTTAAGAAAGCTGGCAAGCTCAACATTTCCAAGGCAGCCCCTAAGAAAGGTAAGCACTTTAAAATCTTAGGAGCAAGACTTCAAGATGAGCACATAGCTGAACATCATGAGGGGGTCAGAGAAGCATCCGAGACACCGAGTTTGGGCATGCACAGAAAGGTCTTTTCCAGGAAAGAAGGGTCATTAAGCATTCTATGCTACCTCACTGTTAAAAACAAACTATTTTTTTTTAAAAAGTAGTTGGTGCTTATGTAGACTGGGTGCCTCAAAATAGAAAGGTCTGCTGAGACGGAAGAATAGAGAATTAAAAACCAATAATATCCATCAATTTTATCTATAGAATCCTTATGCAGATGTGTCAGGGGCACTGGGCAAATGGGATACAGCTAAAAACCTGTTTCCAGAAAGGCATCCTCCTACCTGACCAGAATGAAGTACTGGACTCTTTCCTGATACTGATTGCTTCCTGTAGTTTTGGACTAGCTGTAAACTTATCTCTGTGTGTCTGGAAGACATCCCGAGGATGGAGGATTAAACATGAGAGCATTTTTTTTTTTTAAGTTGTGGAAACGGAAGGGTTTTTATTTACTTTTGAAAGTTGCCTTCTTTCCTAAGCAGAGGGAGTCTAAGTTTGAATTTAATGAGGTCCACAGTGGCCTCTGCTGGTAGAAAATCAGAATACACATGAGACACAGACTGTCACACAGGGTGTGAAAGTAGCCAGAGATGGTTTCACTGTTAGTCCAGTGGCAGGATCCAAACTGAAATTTGCCAGCCCCTGGTCTATGGTGACAGCCATCTCTGAAAAGACCACTCCCCAGCCTATAAATAGTTCAATTCCGTTGGCTTGTTCTAGTGTGTGTAGCCCAAGGTTTAAAATTTACCTATAATAGAAGAATGACAGGAAATTTGTATCCCACAGACTGTGGGAAGCCTAATATTTCCCACCAAGTTTTAAAAATGATGTATTTTTATGTGTATGTGTAAGTGCCAGAAGCAGACACCAGAAGCCCCAGAACTGGGTTTACAGGAGTATGTGATCTGACGTGGGTATGTGGCTGCTGGGACCTGAACTTCCATCCTTTGAAGAGCAACCAGGACTCTTCCTTCTGAGTCATCTCTCCAGCCCCTTCCCATGCACTTTAAAATATCCTTTCCCTCCCAGCACAGTGGCGCACGCCTTTACTACCAGCACTTGGGAGGCAGAGGCAGGCAGATCTCTGAGTCTGAGTACAGCCTGGTCTACATAGTGAGTTTCAGGACAGCCAGAGCTATGGAGATAGACTCTGTCTCAAAACATACAAACATAATACATACATACATGCATACATACATACATACGTTCCAAAGAGAATTATATGTTTGAATCTGAAGTTGGAATTGGCATAAATTGGTGATAAGGGACCCATGAGATCACTCAACAGGTTAAAGTGCTTGCCACCAGGCCTGATGACTTGATTTGTCCCTGGAACCGATAGAATGAAAGAAGCAAACTGACTCCTTCAAGTTGTCCTCTGACCTCCATGTGCAAGCCATGGCACACATGTGCCCACACATGCGCATTCACAAAAATAAAATTTTTAATTTAGCAATAAGACTTTAAAAAATATTTCTTTTCCCATTGTTGTCTTATTTGTACTATTAATCTCTATTGAGTGACAACGGCCTGGAAAACCAACAAAAAGTTCAAAGCTAAAGCTCCTCCCGTTTCTAATTGAGAGGGGGATGCCTTGGTGTCATTGGTGTAAGCAAGGCTTGTTCATTCTGGAAATCTACTCCTCCATCACAGAAATTATTTAGGTAAAAAGGTACTTTTCCCAATGTCAACCTGCCTTGGTATTCACAAAAACAAAATCATGAGCTGCGTGCTTGAGTACCTAGGTGTTCAAACATTGCTCTGCAGGGAGCCTATGCCACCCCAGCTTCAGACAACTCTTTTGAGCTCTAGATCAAGTCCAAACCTGCAGGCTCTCCTAATGATTCTTCCAGATGCCTTGATTTGCATGGAAGTAAGGGCAGAGTTTGTCCATTTTACAAATAAATTTACTTTCTCTCTCAGCAGTCCTAAGGATGTAAAAACAATAGGCAATCGTTGCTTTACAACTGACAGGCCCAGAACATGGCAACAGCGGAAACAAAACAAAGCGTCTTCAGAACCCACTAGATCAGAGAGGGAGCTCTGAAGAGGCTGTCAGTGCAGCACTAAGCACTGTCCCAACAACTGCCTCTTTGCATTAGAGCCACGGAGTAACTCTCAACGGCAAGGAAATTAGAAATAATATAGAAAGCATGCCAGAGAAACAGTGATGAGCACTCTGCCAGGAAATAGGCCTCCTTCATTGTTCCCGTGTCAGAGTCAAAAACTATCAAACATGGGATTGAAGAGATAACTCAGTGGCTAAAAGCACTGACTGCTCTCCCAGAGGACGTGTGTTCAAGTCCCAGCACATGCATCAGGAGGCTCTCACAACCTGTAATCCCAGCTCTGAGGATTCAATACCTGACCTATGAGGGCACCTGCACTTATGTGCACATAGTGTACATACTTACCCCCCCCACACACACACAAGCATACACACACACACACACACACACACACACACACACGTAACAAAAATACAAATAATTTTAAACAAATTAATGGTTTAGAAAGATATTATTCACTTGTAAATATTATATATGCATCCATCCTTAATTAAAACTCAAAGCAGTTTTTAAGCCTTATGTGTCCTAGATTTTTTCATATCATTCACAAAAATTCATACAACTCAAAAGGATTTTGCTTTTGCATCACAGAAGCTAGTACTTGGGCAACCCAGTGGCCTTCCCAGTCCCCTACTCCTTATCTCTAGAAAATTCCATCACCATACCTAATTAAAGTCAATCTAAAAACTTTTGTTTTACTCTAAAATTTCCAAAGATTGGGGATCTAGTGAGCATTGCCACATGCTGCATTTGTAACTGGAGCATAACCGGGCTAAAACATCCCACGAGAAAGCAGCTGGTGTAGCCCTCTTCTAAAACAAATGTTTTTATTAACATATACAGAGTTAGGTTTCATTACAGTGTTTTCAAACAAATGTTTGTATTGCTTCTCTCCCCTCTTTATCCTCTTTGTCCCCGTCCTCTTCCTTTTACACCCTCTCCTTCCCCAGTAGCCTTCTTTCCACATACCTGTCACATGTGACACTTTGTTCCCCCCCTCCAAACCATTCCCATGGACACTTTATTCTTTCATGGTCTCCTGAACAAAAAAACACCTTACAGGAGGAAAGATTTCCAATGGCTCGTAATCTCAGAGAGTTTTAGTCTATCAGAGTAGAAAAGATAAACCACTGTGGCTTCATCTTTGGCAGCAAATGCTCAAGGGAGATGCTATTCACATCAGGGCACACAAGAAAGTTTATAGGCCCTACAGAAGGAGGCAGCCTGTAACCTTCTAAGGTGAGCCCCTCACTGAACTGCTTTCTCCAACTAGGCTGAGCCCCCTTAAAGCTCCTCAACCTCCCCAAATAACACCATTAGCCAGGGGTTAAAAAAAAAAAACTCAAAATATAAGCTTGAGGGCTATCTTTCAAGTTTAAGCCACTGTACACCTAAATTATAATTCCATCATGAGAATAAGAGGGATCTAAAAAACAATGCACTGCTTTATAATAAAAGCTGTCGATAGAACTGGGGGCATGTCTTTCCCTAGTTAAGGAAGGTGAGCTAAACCGTGGAGTTTGACTTTGTTCAATGCAGCTCAGAACTTATCCATGACACCATGAATCGTTCCGTTTTTCCTCAGTAGGCTTATTGGGAAGTTATCTTGTTTCTGTCCTCAAAAGACAAACAGATGCATCACTGTGTCCTCTGTTTCAGAGGCAAACATCAACACCATCCAGTCGATGCATGTCGGGGAGTTCAACCAGAAACTGGTCGAAGCCAGTGCTCAGTTTAAAAAGAAACAAGGAAAAGGCACGATTGATGTTTGGTGGTTATTTGATGATGGAGGTAAGCTGTCCAAAACGTTCACGAGGGAGCGGAACTCCTGCTTGACTATTTTGACAGGATGGCTGCGTATGAAAAGGGTGTCCGTTCAAGAATCCCACTTCTGAGTTCCTAAAGGCCATAAATCATTTAATAGCTGTGATAATGGGAATGAATAAAAATAATGCTCTCATTTTTTTCCTCTCAATTTCTCTCATCCTTTCTGCTGTAATTTACTCTTTATTCCAGGGTTAACACTTCTTATCCCATATATCTTGACTCTCAGAAAAAAATGGAAAGACTGTAAGTTAAGAATCTATGTTGGAGGAAAAATCAACCGTATTGAAGAGGAAAAAATTTCGTGAGTGATTTGGGCCTGGCCTTTCTGGTTGTCTTGGGGATGGGCTGCTCTAGGGCTTGAGTTTTCAGTGCCTTAAACATCTTTGAGCTAGAATTAAGGCACACACCTTAATTCTCAGCACTGAGGAGGCAGAGGCAGGCAGATCTTTCTGAGTTTGAGCCCAGCTTGCATTACATACCAAGTTCAAGGCCAACTTTACTAGATGTTGAGTTCCTGACCAGCCAGGGCTGCATAATGAGCAGTTTTAATTAGAAAAACTTCTAATTAAAGTCGAATCAGGTATCTTTATAGATTTTTCATTAATGTAGCCACTTGGAGCTGATGTATAGATGTGAGAATAACAAACATCAGAGAGCATGCTGTACTCACAGCTGTCATGGAAACCTGGGAGATGCCATCAGCAGCTCTCAGTCCTGCTTGGCAGGCTAAAGTCCTGAACTCTGTACCTTCCAGAAACTGCAATAATATAGGACTCTCATTCTATCAGTTATCATATTTTCTTTTCCCTCTCAGGTTAATGGAATTATGCTAAGTACACACATACACTCACATTTATAATAAGTATATATTTATATATTTACTCTCAATGAATATTATGCAATGCTTATATAATAATAACAAGCCAAATTAGACCAAATCTAAGCAAATAATAAGCCTAGGAACTTTTGAACCATTTTATAAGATTTCTGTAACTTTAAGTTCAAATTACCAGTTTCTAGGGGTGGGGGTTCAACATATAGGCATACACTAGAACTATTAGTTTGTTAGCAACCTTATAAAAACTTCCAGTAGTAAGAATTGGCAATGACAAGGAAAATTACAGCATCTCTCATGAAGATGAATGCAGAGTTCCCTTTGCTCTTTCTGTTCTCTGTATCCACCGGGGCTTTGTTTTGATTTCTTGGATTTTGTTTTTATGACAAGGTGTCTTTGAGTGTGTCAAGCTGGCCTCTAACTCACAATCTGCCTACCTCAGTACCCTGAGATAGCAGGTGTACCACACCCTAATCAGCTGCAGGGCTCACTTTATGACCCCAGTGGAGCAGCTTTGTGCATACTTAACTTCTCCAACAAGTATGTTAACAAAATCAACTGAAAAGCCTCTGTCTGAAAGCTGTACTGATTGCTTTTGATGCCTTAACTCAAATACAAAGACACATTTGATAGAAAGTAATTACATAGGCACTAACTATGTGGTTTTTTTCTCTCTCTCTTTTTTTTCAGAATGGCTTCTCTTCTCAGCAAATTTAGGATAAAATTTGCAGACATCCATATAATTGGAGACATCAACATTAAGCCAAACAAAGAGAGGTGTGAATTGTTTAGCAAGCTCCCCTCATCACCCCTGCTGCTGTCTCACTCTTTTTCCTGTTGCTTAACAAAGGATTGAAAATGTAATGCATTTACTGTAATGTCTTCTTGACAGATATTAAAGAAATGCTTTTCAGTAACCATGACACAGAGCCATCAAGTCCACTTTAATAGAGTTGGGTTATGGCAAGAAGCCTGAGGACAGGGTCTCCCATCCCAGAGCTATTTTAGGGTCCAGGCACTAAGGGGCTCAATGGTTATGGCCTGTGAACTTTTGAGGGAGTCTCTAAAACTATCTGAGACCTAGAAAGGTGATTGAAGCCCCACTCCCGGAAACAGGGAGTGACAAAGCAGAAATAATCATTAAATGCCTTCAAAGCTTTATATGCTTTATAACATTTCCTTGCATCACACATAACTCAAATGCCTAACATTCTTTTGGTTTTGTTGTTGTTGTTGTTGTTGTTGTTGTTTTTCCCTCCGAGACAGGGTTTCTCTGTGAAACAGTCCTGTCTGTCTATCCTGGAACTCACCCTGGAGATCAGGCTGGTCTCAAACTCACAGAGATCCACCTGCCTCTGCCTCCTGGGACTAAAGGCATGAGCCACCACTGACTGGCCATGCCTGAAATTCTTATGCTTCTGCGGTAACAAACACATAAGTAAAATGGCATATTTATAGTTCCCTTTGGTAAGTGGAAACATTGTTCTGATCAGAAATGGATTGTCATCTGAAGAGTTGTAGCTCACTGAGTCACTGGGAGGTACTTGTAGTCATGTGACCCAACAGGCTCACTGTGTGGCTCTAGTTGGCAGAGATGGATCCTTCATAGAAGACCAAGCTGGACAATTTTTTGCATGAACCCCTTAGTGACAGGGTTTAGGTATCATTGTACATCAAGGTCAAGCCATTTCTCATTGTCTGGAGGGTAACCACTGTATCTCTTCAAGCCCTTGCTCAATGCTGAACAAAAATTAGCCACCCAGTTCTTATAGCAGCAGAATTTGTCTTCATCATTTATCTTCATAAATACACAGTTATTTCTCTACTCCTTCGTCTTTCTACCCTCAACCTGGTTTTCTCTACTGAAGGTAAGTTCCTTTCTGTGTCGTGCAACCTTGCTTCCATTCAGCTGCTGTGGCCACCACCCTGTGTTCTTACCCTTTCTGTTCTGTCATTGAATGTGTGATATGTCATCTTTATTAACTGTCGTCTCCATTCTGGAAGAGCCTGATTGTCATAGTACCGGCAAACTTTGTCTTTTCATGCTAACCTTTGCCACATACTGTCCTCTTCTCTGGGCATTTTCATTTTTTTTTTTTTTGTCTGTGCATCTAAATTTTATTCCACACACCATTGGTGTTCCTCACACAGTGTCACTGTCCTCTTGAGAAGAGAATTACTTCCCTTCCTTGAGAAACCAATAAATTAGGTTTCAAAGCTTTGCAAATTTTCTCTCTGCTGTGTGAAGGTTGCAGAGAAGATACGGGGGTTGGGGGGAGCACATCCATCCTTGCTAAGGTTAAAGGATACTGGTGGCTAATGAATACTGTCTTGAGAAAAGGAGGCCAGCTGCCAGAAAGAGTGCTCAGAGGGGCCCTCCTCCTCTCTCACCCTCTACCACACTTTGATAATAGTGGCGTGTAAAATGCCATGTACCCTGCTGTAACTCATGTCCCAGATTTTAAAGTAGCCCTAGTTTGGAACAGAAAGCAGTCATTTGGTCCATGGTACCTGTAGCCTCTATCAGAAGGTCAGTCATGTTTGTGTTAACTCTAGGTAATGCAATCAGAGAAAGCTCTTGTAGACAGATGTAGCCCCAGGCCTCAGAGCTAAACCATCAAGAGTATACTGTTCCAAATTCAGCGCCCAGGGTAGCCTTTTTGGCTGGACAGTCTTCACCACCATGAACAACTGTCCCCAGATCACTATTTTTGTCTTGCTCACCTGGTGTTATACAAAGTGGATAACAGTTTGTCAGTGATTTGCTTGGGAAAGGCCTAGTGTTAAATTATCTTTCAATCACCTTTAGTACATCTTGCAGTCACCATGAAATGTTGGTTAGTTATGTCAGAGGCATTTTGTCATGGAAACCTTATCTCTAAATATGGGAGGTGCAAGGGTGAATACAGCACAAAATGAGAACTAAATTTTCTCAACTAAATGAGAAAATAATTGAGCCTAGAGAAACATAGTACATATTGTGGTTAGGATTCATTTTTATTGTATAAACTGAATTAAAAGTCATGGGCCAAAGACAGCAATCTTTATGTGGAAATCAAGGAGAAACTGGAAGCAATTAACTAGATAATTTAGCTTAAAGATGCTAGATGTTAGAGTTGTCCAAAAAACAAAACAAAACAAAAACTACAATACGTTACTTTGAAAGAGGGAATCTTAATGTGGACCAAGGATAAGGTTTTAAATTTTATCACATTTTGAGATTAAAGTGCATTGTTTTCTTCCTTCCCTTTTCTCTCTCAGAGAAAGTTCTGTGCAGTTAAAATAGTGCTAAACTTTGGTATGAAGAAAATGATGGAGAAGGAAGGACAGTTTTAGTTAATTTTGGAAAACTGAATTAATTCTCATTTACATTTAGCAGCAGATATTACTTGGCTGAGAGTCAATTAAAAGGTACTTTAAAGAAAAATCACTTGGGGCCTAGAGAGATGGCTCAGCATTAAGAGTACTGGCTATTCTTCCAGAGGACCAGGGTTCAATACTTAGAACCTATATGCTGGCTAATAACCATCTATAACTCCAGTTCCAGGAGATCCAATGTCCTGTTCTCGTCTCCCTCATCACTCCCTTAGCATGTTTTAGTGCCAGTGAAAGAAAATCTCATAGTGATTTAGATGACAGAAATTATTGTCACACACAATTAAGTACAGGGGTAGGCTGCCTTTCAGCTAAATGACCTAGAAAATAAACTTTATAACAAAGGACTGATTTTCTTTCATTCTTTCTGTTCTCCCTTCCTTTGGAAAGCCATCAATAAAAGTTTATTTAGCTTATAAAAACAAGGGGAGTAACAATAGCAACTAGGATTCCATACTTGTTCTTGTGTATTCAGTAGGAGAGTAGAAAGTGTCTCTCCCTAATCATTGAAGTCACTCCGTTCAGAATTCATTATCTGCCTAAACCACTGGGCCATACACGGCAGGCACTATAATATAGGGTGTATATTGGTTCAAAACTGCCTGGGTTTTACCCAGTCCTTGCAGAAAGCCCAGAAATATGCTAGAATTGGTTGATGTTGTAGATGGAATAGTTCTCACACTGGATACTATGGAAACAACTGCTAATTTCCACTTCCCCTCTGTTTTTTGAGAAATCACTTTTGTTCTGTATTTCCTTCCTTCCTTTCTTTCTTTTTCTTTCTTTCTTTCTTTTTTTTTTATTTTCAAGACAGGGTTTCTCTGTATTGCTTTGGAGGTTGTCCTGCAACTCGCTCTGTAGATCAGGCTGGCCTTTAGCCAGTCTCTGGCTGAGGTGCAGAGAAACTCAAACTGTACTTGTAGAGTTTAAACACAGTTTTCCAACCTGAAACCAAGTTCTGGGGCTGGTCAGCAAGATGCTACCTCACTTTCCTGAGGCACTGCAGCCACAGCATCACTCTGGTTCTCCCAGGGCTCCTAATGGCCATTGTCACTCCCTTCTGTAGGCCAGATTAGCTAGCTATACGAGGAAAGTAGAAGCCATAGAGCAATTTTCCAGGTTCTGAGGCCAGGCCCTGCATCTTACTGATTGTCACCACAGCTCTTTCAGGGTTGATACTGTTGGAAGTAGTGACAAATGAATGTATTGTTGAAAGAATAATAGGTGCACATCAGTTCTCTTGCTTACCTATCGTCTCCCAACTCTCTATGTGAGTCAGCACAATAGGAGTCTATTGCATTCAGCACCTCTTCAATACTTTACAGAAGCTAACTGGCAGAGACAATTTTACTCCTTTGTAATCTCTGCACTCGTATTTGCAAATCCTAAATCAGGCCAACTGATGAGATAATTAAATTCATCACTCCGTATTTTAATTTCTTAACCCCAAAGCGTATGGATTCTAATTACTATTCATCCCAAAGTTACTAAATGGTAAGTAAGCTAAATTATATAAAACCAAAGGAAATTATTCATAGTTGAGGTCTTCTTAAGAAGAGCTCTGAAGACAACTCCTTCCATAAATTAGAAGCTTCACTTTGTGCGGAAGTTTGAAGAATAAATCTTAGGAGATTATCATGTAAGACAAGAATGAGATTCTTTTTGCAATTTTTAAACGTTCCATAGCTCTTAGACACTGCCTCTCACTTTCTCCTCAATGATTTATTCTTAGATGCCCTAAGATGGCCTCAGATTTTTAAGCATTAAATGTTATTGATTTTCACCCTCTTGCTTAACACAAACATGAATAATAGTCATTTGAAAATCTCAGACAGCAACATCAAACACCAGGACAAGGATGCCATTATTTTCCAGATTTTTTTTTCTGTTAAGCCTATGAGAGCCCAGTCTGTTTCCTATCTGCCCAAAGCCTCCCGGCAGGAGTGGGCATTGTTAGTTGACTGCAGGTGAGGAGGGCCCCCATCGTTCCCATGGAGGTCATCTCCCAACTACAGTAACTGCTGGAGGTCACCCACTGACCTGCATCACAAGCAAATAGAAATGGGCTTCCATGTGTATAGCATAAGTAGCTCTTTAACTACATTATGCAGAAAACACATCTGTAGAATAATTACTATCTACATGTCCATGAATTAATAATGTTGATGATCCTGGCAAACTAACCAGGCCTCAAACGCACTAACTGCTTGCTTTGACTACAGAGGGAGTAATGCCCATGGTTTCCCTCACAGTACATTCTGTACAAAGATGACTCTTAAAAGATTTGCATACAATTCTGCTCTGATTCTGTGCATCTGTGAAATAATGAGTCCATTTCCCACTGTGAGGCCTCCTTTACAATTCCAATTTCAGCTGGAAGGTCTTTGAAGAGATGATTGAACCTTATCGTCTCCATGAAAGCCACAAAGATTTGACCACTGCTGAGAAATTAAAAAGAGAAAGTCCATGGAAAATTACAGATGCAGAACTGGAAGCCGTCAAGGAAAAGGTAAGGACTCATCTTCCTTAGTTTTTACTTCACCGTCTAAACAGTAAAGAAGAAACAGTGGCTGATTTCAAGAAATGATACATCAAGTCAAGCTGCCTTCCTCAGCATCCTGAGAGCCTGCATCTTCAGGGACTTTTTGATCATGTTACTGGATATAACCTATTTTTAAGTTAACAAAACAGGTTATTGGTCCATATTGTGAGGTCTCCTTTGAAATGTATTTTCATTAACCTAAAATAATTTAAGTCGTTAGGCATGCAATGTGGATAAAGGTAAATTGACCCACAAATTTAACCAATAACAAAGGCCTCTGGCCTGATTAACATAGCTGTGAAAAACTAACAAAAATATCTATAGAAATGTATGATGTGTTGTTTGGAATAATGAATACAGATGTTGTGCCTGGGCTAACAAGATAGCTCATCAGGTGGCCTGAGTTCAGCCTGAAGATTCTATTTGTAGAGGCAGAAAATAATTGATAAAAAGCTGTTCTGTGACATCTACAAGCATATGGCAGCACTCACACATACATCATACACACAGAGAAATAATAAAATTGTATGTGTACGTGTAAGTTGCACCCAGCACACACAGTGAAATGGGTGTAAAATGATAAGTTTTCCTAGATAGCACAATGGCAGTAGTAATTCTAGCACTATGGAATCTGAGGCAGGAGGATCACAAACACCAGACCAGCCTGAGAAGGACAGAGAACAACCAGAATTGTCTCTCTGGCCTGAGCTTAAATTGAAGTGGTAGGTAATAATGACAATGAAAAGAACAGGGATGAAGATTTAAGTTCAAAACTCAACATGTTAACTGGACATCAAAGGACAAGGATCACAGGAAGAAAATATTGAACCCTTCCAGCATCAGTGACACCAATGCTGAAATAGAAGAATAAACTGTACATGCGATTAAGTACCCAGTTTTACAGAGACATAGCGTATAATTAAGCAAGTCAGACATGAACCTGTGAAACACAAAAAAAATATAGTATTAGTCTTATCACTGTAAAATAATTTTCCAATGAGTTTACTGGTGGCTTTTTACTTGAAACTGGTCCCCTAAATAATATTGTCAGGGAGCTTAAAGAAAACACAATAGAACAGAACCTACCTTCTTAGGCTATCAAAAAGATAGCGAGATTCAATTGGTTTTCTTCAGATGAAAACCTGTTTCCAAGCCCTCTGTTCTCATCTTTTTGTTTGTTTGTTTGTTTGTTTTTGCCATCTGTGTTGTTCTACACTCCTAGAATCTAATAAGCCACCATGTCACAATGGCAATCCAGAATTACTCTTCATATTTCTACAATTTCCCATGAAGCTTTACAACATTAAATCTTCATTTATTAAGTGCACTTTTTAGTAATGACTTTTAATCATATCTTCTGATTATTTGTGACTTGAGGTAAGAAGATAACTTCTCATTCATAATTCTGGTCAACCTGTACTCAACTCAGTCTAAATACTGTCCACAGAGTTACCGCCAAGTTCGACTGAATGAGCTCTTACAGGAACATTCGAGAGCTGCCAATCTCATCGTGCTGTAAGTATCACTGGGCACTTAGACAGGGATGACTGAGTCCTGTGAACTTCAGCAGGGCCTGCTTGGACTTTCTAGTGGTTCTACAACAATCATGGGGCCGGGAGCATACGTCCATGTTGGCCTGAAGCTACCCTGTGGTCCCATATGAAATAGGCTCCAGGAGTCTGGAAGTCTGAAATTCCCTCCCAATAGCCCAAGTGGACCACAGGGCTCACCAGTAACTTCCCTAGATGGGTGTTGCTGAGCTGTGTGTCCATGGCTGATTTCCTGGGTGGGCACTTCTGAGCTATGTGTGTTTGTGACTGACTCATGTGGTTCTGTACAGTGTGGGAATAGATCACCAAAGACAAAAGGCCATGAGCTTATATATTTTCACTCCTTAGCCCATGGCCTTACCAATGTTAGGAGTATTCCCCTACTGAAAATATTACTCATGTAACAAAGATTGGTGCTAAAAATGGGGTAATGTCCAACTATTTTATGTTTACCCAGTGAACTGACCTATATATGAAAATATATGTATCTTCAAGCATGGCGTGGCTTAGAGGACTGCTACTTCTAATATACCTCCCCCACCAAAAACAACAACAACAAAAATCCCAGTAGATATTGGAGGGGTGAATAACTGTACAATGACTGTACATTTTCTCACTTATACATGTTTGCATTATTTGAAGAATATATCAATTTAATTTCTGAATTTAAAATAACTGCAGTGCTCTCACTTGAGGGGGGGGTGTGATAAACATTTCAAATTCTAGTTATTGCTAATTCAGAAATGCAGACAACGTCCCTGCCCACTGTAATTTTTCTCTTTGATTTTAATTTTTCTTCCATGTCATCAGGAGCCTTCCAGTGGCAAGAAAAGGATCTATATCGGATATGCTGTACATGGCGTGGTTAGAAATTCTGACCAGGAACCTCCCTCCTGTGTTACTGGTTAGAGGAAATCACAAAAATGTCCTGACATTTTACTCTTAATGTGTGAAAGATAGGAAATGTAACTTGATGTCTGAATATGAAAAACGTCTGGTACTTGATGATGTAAAACCTCATCTATGATTATACAAACCTCTGAAGACTAGCGTACCTGATTCTACATAAATTTTGTCTTTAAAAAAAGAGTTATTATTAACAAGAGGTTTTCCCCATTAGTTTAAGAAACATCAAAAGCCATACCGCTCCTAGAGAAACACTTTGTCAAAGTTGCTGAAAAACAAGAAATTAATAAAACCTAGCTGGCATGCTTACAAGTCATGCTAATCTGGATGTGAGCTCCAGGCAAACTTAATCTGTGGAGCCTGCTGTATGGCCCCAGTGCACACCTCAGTCCCACAGCAGGCTCTCCATAAGCACTTATTGACAGGCTGGTATGGTGACGGCAGGTGGCAATCACAGGAAAAGACCTGCTGGGTCAGCAGCCTGATTCTGCTTGGCCTCCTGAGAGGCTTATGAAGATTTAAAAATCAATAACTGAAAACTTTACGAAGGACTAGAGTCTACAGAGTGTTCAAAGCAGTTACCTAAAGGTTTATTTAATGCAGCAGATAATATGCTTACAAGTGATCTCTGATAACACATAGCTTGGATTTGCTGCCTGCTGAAGGTTTGTTAGGGAGGCGAGCAAGAGACACATGCTCTACTTAAATGAACTCCAGTGGATTCTTAACATATAAATATCAGTTGTCTTCCCTGCTAAATATTTTTAAATTTCTATCTTAGTACTACTTTGCTTATTTTTCTAATTAATGGTTTGCATAGATGAAATCAAAATAGATGTCTCATTGAAAAATAATCTCATAAACTTTCAATCCACTATTAAAAGTACATATAGATCCTACTTTCATTTACTTTTTACAGTTGTTATATAGGCTTTAGAGGATAACTAAGATATGAATGGAGAAAATTATAAAAATTAAGAATACGGGTATTGATTTTTCTTCTTGATAGTGTGTCTATATTTAATCACAGAAAAAAAAACCTAAAAATTGTTTATCTGATGAATGGCTTGTTTTTTTATTGTTTTGTTTTGTTTTGATTTTTCTTGGCATATTTTGACTATTCTGGGGAAATATGTGGGGCAAATCGACCAGAAATAAAATCGCTAAAATGTGTTTGCTTTGACAAAGTGGTGCATTTTCCTTTTCTGTCATTGAAATCAACAATGGTGCAATGTGCAATGGTACATGAATGCGAGCCTGAAGAGTGCATCCCCGTAACCACACCTGCAGCTTGTTTAAAGTTGAGATTCAGGATGAATATTTCTAAGCTTAACAGAGGCAAGGAGCAAGGCCCAGTCAGCAGGATGCCTTGTCCACTGATACTCAGCTCACCCTATGGATCTGAAACTTAAATGACTAGTGACCTGGTTAAGATGGCCCTGTGTCCTCTGAAATAGGAGAGCAGGTCTCTGGGAAAGGCAAGAAGTTCATCAGTGAGCAACACATCCTCCTCCCAATGACCTTTGGGGGTGGGGGAGCCTGGAAGTGGAGCAGTGATGTGGGGACTAAGGACTGGCTTACTCATTGTTCCTCAAAGTTGTCCACACACTGAGCCTGTACTTCCAACAGCAAAGAGACTCTGCGTGTATGGCCCATGTGTAAGCTTGAGCTGGGGATAGTATCCTGGTCAGTCTGGTAGACAAACTGCAACTAACAAGCACATAGAGAAAAACCAGTCCAGGGTGTGGCCAAGAACCAAAGAGACGACATTAGCAGCAGAACTCATCGGCTGCTCAGAGCTCTGAGCTCAAAGGGAGGTCATAGGCTGGAAAGGTGGGGGAAGGAAAGCATGGCTTTCTCTCTCTAGAGCTTGTAAAAAAAAAAAAAAAGCAGCTTTTCTAATGCCTGTTATATTTAGATTATTGATAACTGGGTTGGACTTTTGACCTAAAGAATGTTGATTTCTTTTAAAGGTAGTGTTTAAACCACTAAGACTTAGTGCTTCTATTGCTGAGAAGAGACATCATGACCAAGTCAACTCTTTTGTTTGTTTGTTTGTTTGTTTTTTCAAGACATGGTTTCTCTGTGTAGCTTTGGAGCCTGCCCTGGAACTCACTCTGTAGACCAGGCTGACCTTGAACTCACAGAGATCCACCTTCCTCTGCCTCTCGAGTGATGGGATTAAAGGTGAGCGCCACTACCACCTGGCTCCAAGTGAACCCTTACAAAGGAAAGAATTTAATTTGGGAGGTTTACAGTTTCAAAGGATTAGTCCACTATCATCATGGCAGGGAGCGTGGTGTTTTGCAGTCCACATGGTGCTGGAGAAGTAGCTTGCAAGCAACAGGAAATGGTTTGTGACACTAGGTGGTATCTTGAGCATATATGAAACCTCAAGGCTCACCTTCACAGTGACCCACTTCCTCCAACAAGGCCACACCTATCCAATAAAGCCACACCTCCCAATAGTGCCATTCCCTTTGGGGGCCATTTTCTTTCAAGCCACCACTGTAACACTTTGTTATACCAGCAATAAAAGATTGAAAGTTGTTGAGTGTGGTGCTGCAGTCTGCAATGTAGTGCTGGATGGAAGTGACGTGGGCTAATGCTCTTGCACACTGTAAAGGTTTGTCACTCGGATTGGTTTAATAAAACTCTGATTGGCCAATAGCCAGGCAGGAAGAATGGGTGAGCTAGCAGACTAGGAGATTCTGGGAAGAGGAAGGCAGAGACAGTCTCCAGTCAGACACGGAGGAAGGAAGATGAGAATCCCTTACTGAGCAAAGGTACCAAGCCACATGACTAAACATAGATAAGAATTATGGGTTAATTTAAGTTGTCAGAGCTTGTAATTTAAGTTGTAAGAGCTTAGTAATAAGACTGAGCAATAGGCCAAATGGTTTATAAATAATATAAGCCCCTGTGTGTTTATTTGGGATTAAGGCAGGGACCAGACAGGACAGAAACTTCCATCTACAAGGAAGCAGGAAGATCATGAGTTCAAAGTCTTCCTCAGGGAGCTCAAAGCTAGCCTAGTCTATGAGAACCCTAGTCTCAAAACAACAAAACAAAGGAAATGTAGAAAAGAAAAACAAATGTGAATCCTTCGTGAATCAGGATTAGCACAACAGACAATTTTCAATCTCTCCAACCTGTCTGGTCTCTAGTTACCTCAGACACCTTCCTCTACCAAACTCTTTTCAGTGTCACGGTACCTAACTGCACCTGTTAGAGAGTCTTCATGGAACAGCATTGTTCACAGCCATCTGCTGAGCCCAGTTAGTGTTGCTTGTATGCGTATGCCCAGGTATAAGGAGGAGTGGGCTGTGCTTGCGCTTGCCGCTTGAGTTGGCTCCTTGGATCTAAGAGGCTCTGGGTTTCAGCCAGTTGTCATTGCCCCTCTCTCAGCCATGCCGGCTTCTGTGAGAGTCCTTAGTCTGGAAGGGTATGAGTATGCACTGCAACTCTAGCCACCTCCAGTGTCTCACCCTCAGCCACACCTGGCTTCTGCAAGGACCCCAGACGGCATGAATAATTTCCATCCCCCGCAGCAATGTTTCCTGCTAGAGAGAAGTATATACAGATTAGTCTGGGGACACGACTACCCACCCCTGGACAAGCTTAGTCTTTCTTATTTGTAATGTGTTGTTAATGTTGTGCGTGAACTGTTGCCCAGATCTTGCAACATTTTTCATTCTAAGTGATCTATACAGACCTTTTAGCTGCTGTCTCTGTCTCCTCCTCCTCCTCCTCTTCCTCCTCCTCCTCCTCCTCCTCCTCTTCCTCCTCCTCCTCCTCCTCCTCCTCTTCTCCTCCTCTGCCTTACCACTTTACAAATTCAGTTTATGTGCTAGGTCACCTATGTCTGCCAAAGCCTCTCCTACTTCAAAAATACCACAACCCATCATGAGACTCAACAAAGCCACTAAAGCCCTCTATACCAGTCCCAAGGTCCCTGCTGAATCAACTTCCTTTTTAACTGTCGAGTGAACATTGATCTTCCTGGTCTTGTGAACTGGGGATCAAACACAACTTCTCTCAGCCTCCCCAGTAACCCCTGGGGAGGGGGTTACTCAACATTACTCCTCTATGGGCCTCTGTCCCCTGATATTTATAGGGACCTCAGATGGAGATAGCCAAGTGCTCCTAAGGGCTCTATTTAGCCAGCCCATCAATGACTGGTTTCCCTCACACCTCCTTTTTTCTTAAGGAGACATGAGTTATTGCACTGCTCAGTTTTTCTGCTCCCAACTGCAGTTAGATGGTTCCCATCTGTTCCCATGTCCCACAGCCTCAGCAGCCAGGCTGAGACAAGCGTTTTTATTCCTTGTTTAGAAGTCTTCCCCAGTTGAAGTTCAGGGTACCAGGCCTTTGTTAAGGACTCTATGTCCAAGTCGGATCACAGATTTCCCCTTTTCTCTATTAAAGGTCTGACCCAGGGATTATTTTCTATCTCTGTTGCGTGTTTTCCTCCCCATAGATCTGACTCTTAATTCTTTTCCTATTGGCCCCCAGCTCTGAAAAGTGACAAACCAGCACTTCCACATTCTTCTGTCTTTTATCTAATTTACCTGCCAAATCAGGGCTGTGTCCAGTACTTTCCCCGGGAGACAAAACTCTCCCTCTCTCTCTTCCTCTCCCTCTCACAACACAAATTCTAATTGGTATTAATAATAAAAAACTCAGAGTCAGCTATCAGTGGGTGAAAGCTGAAAGATCAGAGAAGCAAAGCAGCCAGCCACTAAAGAGTTCTCACCTCTACAGTGTCTACAATGCTCAGACCAAAGAGGCGATCCTGTCCTGTCCTCAGAGTGCCTAGACTGCATCGAGCTCCTATCTCCTCCTGCCTTATATTCCTGTCTGCCCAGCCATATCCCTTCCTGTCTCCAACTTCTTAGTGCTGGGATTAAAGGCGTGTCAGTCCAAGTGCTGAGATCACCTTTGTGTGAGCTCTACTTCTCTTTTAGACAGATTCAATCTCTCGTTGCCCAGTGTGGCCTTTGTGCTGGGATTAAAGGTGCATACCACCACTGCCTGGCC